TGAGAGAGTGAGATGATGCCTTAAACAGAGGAAGAGAAATGAAAAAGAAACTGAGATCATCGAGGGTGTTTGAAAGTGATTTTCTCCCCACTGGTCACTGCTAAGAAGCGAGACGGTCTGGAAGTACTTTTATTGGTTTACCAGTGACCAGTAAATTCAGATACTCACTGCCTCACTTTTAACCCTTATGCTGCATTAGGGACATTTTTGGTCTTTTGCAGTTTAATTTCTTTGACCATTTTGGCTGTTTTAATGCAAATGGTATGAAATTTGGCAAAATTGTGACTTTTTGGATACATGTAAAAAATGTGATCCCATTTTGCAAAATATGTATAACACACACTGTGTAGATCAAATAGTAACACTCAGCACCATAAAGACCAAAAATGGCCCATTGAAACCCATTAAAACGTTGTTTAAATCTGAGGCTGTCAGTAATACATGAAACATGATTTTTGCACAAACATCCTTTCATTTTGAAGCAAAAGCATTATATTTGCATTATATAGTGTATTCCACCAGATGACGTCACTACATATTTATTCCCTATGGGTGGAAATGCACCTTATTTTAGGCAATAGGCAATGTTTAATAGGTGGCCATTTTTGGTCTCTAACGCGCTAAGTGGGATTTTTTGCAAAGTGGGACTGTGATAATCCAAATCTAAAGTTTTCTCTTTGCATTTAGTTTATTGAAAATAATTGAATTTTTGTGTTTTTTCCTCTTATACAAATCGATGGTTTCGCAAACAAAACTGGTAATTAAAGGGTTAAAATCCTGAAATTGAATACATTTTTGGTAGTTATGATGAGGACTGATGCTGGTTAAAAGATTTAACTTGGTAAAAGTGGAAAATAATAATAATATATAATATTTTAGGCAATGTTTAATATGTGGCCATTTTTGGTCCTTAATGCACTCAACGGTGTTAAAAATCTAATGCAGCACAAGGGTTAAAAAAGCTCACACTCCTCACGTCTCACATTCGATCTCTTGATCTTAGGTTTTCTTAATGGGAAAAACATGTTTCCAACATGTACATGTTGTGTGTGAGAAAGGGGATAAAGGCTGGGAAATCAAATGTAAAAGATTGAGAATAAGGTCTTGAACCTGTGTGTGGAAGTACTTTGGGGACAAAATAATCCTCAAATGTTAGCTAAATATGATCTAACCCCAGCCTGGATGCCAGCCCAAACTCCGCCCACAACATTTTTTGGTCGGGAAGTTCGGTCTGAACTCGATCCATTGAGGAGTAATTATGATCCGGCAAAAAATTTTCGGGCCAATCAAATTGCCATCGCTTTATACGATGATGGACAGGTGATCTGCAGGGACGTAATCATCACGTTATCAACAAGCGTTTCCCTCAGAGATGACTGCAGCTGGAGAATTGAGATGTATAGATTCCGCTGTCGCGTCTGTTGTGAAATAAATAGACAGCGCATTAATTTTAATAGACAAAAACGTAATTTTAATTTTAGCAGATACTTATCTTCATGCTTCAGTTGGCATGATTTGTGATGAGCTACTTTGCAAAGAGGAAACATTTTACAAACCTGTCTGGATCACCTCAGCTCTATATTCTTTCCACACATTTCTTAGGTCACATCCTTAATTTGTTCTTTAAAACTTGCTACAAATGACTTGCCTGTCTTGCGTCACGTGTGTGTGTGTTTACAGTTACAGTAGCAGCAGTGCATCGATTCCTTGAGCCATCAGTACCATCCTCCCTGAGCAGTCTGTACTCATTCATTACTCCCTCACTCCATTGGGGGTGTGGAAGGAAACAGCTGGAAGGAGTGACCTTTAGTCTTGTCAACACACAAAGAGAGATACTATCCATATGACTTAAGCACAACCTACTCCAGTAAAAAGGCATTGCCGTGCCTCTCGGACCGCCTCAACGGCCCTGACTGTGACAGCTGTGTACATTGGTGGTCCATTGTCAAGGCTTTTCCTGAGGAACAAAGTTTTCCATACTTGTGGGCAGGGTCTCTGGTAAAATTTACAGGGTCCTGAATGAAGTTTTTTTAGAAGGAGGCCAGCTTTGTCTGCATGCCCAATGAGTTGGCTGTACCATAGAAGACCTTAGAATACTTCCTATATCAAAAGATCTGGGACAATGTTCCAGGGTGTTCACCCCTTAATGACTTGCCTTGTTTGTAGGAAATGGGATAACCCCAGTTTAATTTATATTGGTTATAGTTTGGAATTCAATGTTGTTGAACTTGATTTACAATTGTTTACCTCAAAGTCTGATGGTGTTTTAGGACACCATCGGGTTACTTAATGGAATTTTCGGTTCCTTGCCACTGTTGCCTTTGGCTTGCTCATTTGGGTATATTCAAATTAAATGAGCCATCATTGATCAGCTCTACCAAACTTGATTGTCTTTTTTTTCCATGAATAAACAAACACTTGATTGATTGATTTGGAGAAGCAGCTTTGATACATTCTGTATTGTGAAAAGCGCTATAGAAATATATTTGACTTGACTTGACAAAGTTCTAGAATTTTTGACTGGAATTTAAAACTGGCTTGTGAGTTTAGAATTTACTGTTGGTCCTGAGTCACGTATTACTCATGCTTCTGTCTCTTTGCATGTCATCCCAGTGGACAGTGCAGGCTCTGGATGAATGCCTGTGACCCTGCTGGATCCCTTTGTCTATCAGGAAGTTTGGCTCCTTATATTCTGGTTCTTGATTTGCCTCATCCCGACTGTGGACCCATCACCACTGAGTCATTAATGGCCAATCGCATAAGGAGTAGGAAGAAGTGTTCTTGTCGCTGCTCTATTTAGTTGTGCTGTTGTCCTTCTGAAATTTTGCAGCAAGTCCAGTGACAGGTCCTGTTGTCCCTTAAATGGACAAAGCGGCGACCACAAACTCTTCTATCTTTTTGGGAAGGCTGATCTTGAACAGTGGTACTAGCTGAATGGTGTTTCGGCAGGAGGTGGTGCTGCATAAATGGATTTGGCTGGGGAAGTGATGGCTCCTGCTGCTGGGTGAGCGGACGTCTTTTGGTCTCTGTCTTGGCCTTTACTGCTGGTTCAGCTCGGAGCTGACCTTCTGCTCACTTCGCAGGGGCTCCGGAATTTTCCAAACCCCTGCCGATGGGTGTTTAGCATTGATACACAATGGGGCATCCACAGTTCTCAGAGAAAAAATGGAGAAATAACCACCTCGTGGGGACTTGATTCACTTCCTCCAGCTGAACTGTCTTCTATTACTAACCTGCCAGATTGGAAAAGAGCCGTACAGCTTTGAGTGCTAGTTAAGATCATTCATAATTAGGGCTGTCAGTTAAACACGTTATTAACGGCGTTAACGCAAACCCATTTTAACGGCGTCAATTTTTTATTGCGCGATTAACAGTCTTTTTGGCCTAGCAAACTTTGTGGGGTTTTTTTTTTTCGTATGATTTTGCAAATGGACGCGTGGCGCTGCGTTATGAAACCCATTCATTTCAATGGCTTGCGCCACACGAGGAGGACGTTTTGTTGCTTTGTCGACCAAAGCGCAAGCGAATCTAGCTAGACCGGAAACAAAACAACAGGCACACTTAACTTTACGTTTTGAGTGGATGATGAGCGCAAGACGCTGAAATGGATGCCAATAAGATTCTAAATGGAAAATTTACTTTACTAAATGGTTCAATTGACCAGACCAAAGTGATCTGTGTTTTGTTGTTGTGAACTGAGCTATCATCATCGCCGCACGTCCAGTCTGAAATACCACTTGATTGCCAAGCACACACACACACACACACAGATGATGCGAATTCTCCACCCCCTCATCAATATCAGGACTTCGTCAGTATTTCTTTCACCCTTTTATTGATGGACACTGTTACATAGAGTGAGATTATTTGCTCCAAAAATTAAAAATAATTCAATAAAATTCAATAAAAAACATTTGCACAAAGCAAACCGATCCACTTTTCCATGTTGATAAGAGCGTTAAAATGAGAAAAAATAGAATGCGAGAAAAAGAATTCAAGAGACATTTAGAATAGATAAAAATGTGCAATTAATCGCGAGATAACCACGACATTAATGCGATTAATCGCGATTAAATATTTTAATCGTTTGACAGCACATTATCATACTACAGCAAATATTCAACTACAGTTTCCTTTCATCCTAAAGGGATCAATTCAGACCTTGGATATTTAGAACCACTCTTCAGTTTAGTCGAGTCTTCTCAGTTGTCTTTTCTCCATAAATGTATTTCCTTTTTTGTCCTCTTGTCTATTGCATTGGAATTTCCTGCCCTAGCTTATTTTTTATCGTCTAAAATCCATTCTTCAACCCAGCCCAACCTAAGAGAAACTAGTGTAGATTAATAAGCTGTGCAGGAAAGTGGTCTGATTGTCTTCGACTAAACTTGCTTGTTGTAAACTGTTTAAAACAAGAACAGAAAGGACTGTGATCAAAGTGTTTTTAACAAGCCTTTCAGAAGACTCCCTTGCCTTTTAGATGGGACCCCTGAATAAAATCCTTTTTTCCTCCTTCAGTCGGGGTGAATTCCTGAGCAGAACGAGACGACTGCGTTGGAGAAAAGTCTCTGTGATTCCTTCATTCAGTCAGCATGCTTTGAAAACACAGAGACCCAGAGGAAAGAAAGCTCGTAACTCACCTCGGCAACCCTTCGTCCTACAAATTACTCTTTCATCTAGTGGTTGAAATGGTCACAGTTCAAGTTCACGGCCCAGCACATATTTGTTCGCGCCTTTGGGACCCCTATGAAAATCTTCACCTCTAACTTGTTACCCATAGCAGGTGGCTGGTGATAATGTCTTAATCTGGCAAAGGTCTCGTACGAAGAGTGAAGACGGAAGATCATCCCATGTAATTACACGTTTGCTCCATTACTTCTTAAATCTTTTGTACACATGGCTTATGTTATCGTGTGTTTGAGATGTTTTCTATATACGAGTCCCTTGAAGATGGTAAAAAGAACCATATGTGAAATTTGACGGAAGGGAAGGAGGGGACTTACCCAGGTTGATTGCTCTCTTAGGGCACGAGGTGGGGCCGCAACATACATCTCCACTGTTTGTGTTCGTCTCCCTGGAAACCTCTGATAATTCGGCTGAGTGAACGGCAGATGTTTTTAAGTGTGTGTGTGTGTGTGTGTCTGCGATGGACTGGTCATACAAACCTTGTGAGAAAGTCTTTTGGCTCATGGGGTAATACATCATTGCCTTACACACACACCCGGTTTCTTTTTCCTGACTGCGCAATACCCTTCCAGGAAACAGTCGTCCCTTCCTTCATCCATGCAAGCTTTGATTGTTTCAGTTCAGTTTTGCTCAGTTATACAATATCGACTGTCACAAGTCCTTGTCACGGCCAGAAGTTCAGCTTCATCTCATGAACTTCAGTAATCATCTCTCTTGGGATCGATCCCACAATGGACATGACTCTGAAATTATTTATTTTTTTTAGATTGCAACAATGGCTTCTGCAGATGTGAATGAGTCTCTTGTTCTAATATTCTTTTTTTTTAAATTTACTCATTCCCGTCTCTGGAATGTTGAAATGGCTCCACGGGGAGAGTGAGATGGTTATTATGATAAAGGTCGCCTGTTGACATTCCCCTCGTTTCCGAGTTATGATCTGATATCAGCATAATCTGATATGGTTAGGTCAAGCTCATCATATTAGACTTAGAGTTAGAGTTAGTAATGGGAAATTAAAAGATGTTTACTGATTATTGTTCCATTTGCGATTCCACTTGACGTTTCATGTTCATTGATGGTTTGGTTAAAGGTTCTCTTGGCATTTTTAATAAAGAACAAATGGCTACCAGTTTACCTTGTGATTGTATCTAATTAGCCAACTATAAAGCCAAGAGTTCCTTCTGTGCGGATTGACGGCACCATGTGATTTTTTTCGCCATTAGGATCGACAGGATCTGTGCCTCTAAAATGACTCTGTCCTGAGGGGTTTGAACTTGTGTGGTCATGAAATAGAGTCACAGCAGTGCCATGTGATACATAGCAGTACACAAACATCCTCTTTATCAGTTTATTTATCAGGGTCATCACGAAATGAGGTCTATTACACATGGGTGAATGGTTCTTTGATGGTTCTTTTGGGAAAGGATGTATTCATTGGCTCCGTTATATGGTGATTTGTTTGGTTAGTGCAGTCAGTGGTTCTCAATCTGGGATCTGTGAAGGATTCCGAGTGGTCTGTGAGATGATTGGCAAATCCATAAATTAAACTGACTAATTAATCTACTCTAAATTAATAATGTGGTTTAGTGCATACATGTTTAGTCTATCTTTAATTTCAGTGAAAAAAAAACAGCAATGTTATATGGCTCAGGACAAGATTTGTGACATTGACCTTCGAATGAGGTTTGGTGATTTATAAACTAGGCTATAGACTTGCTTTATAGACCATTTTGCAAGATGTAAACAACGCTGCTCCAGAAGCACTTCCTGTTTCAGTTTTTGAACACTACATAAAAGCTGGGATGAAATACAACCAACAGAACATATAAAACTGAATCAAAAAGTTAAACAAACATCTTTAAGATGTTTCCTTTACATGTGAAATAAAGAAAACGGTTACAAACTGAAACAGGAAGTGTTTCTGGACCATCTTGCAAAATGGTCTATATATGCCATCAGAATCACTTTGTGGAGTGTATAAATGAAGTGTCTAAAATTTGAAAGGTGCCAATCTCTGTTATTCTAATTCTAAATTACCGTCTGATGTCTTTTTTGCAGCTTTTACTTACTTAATTTTCTTTATAAAGCACTTTACAGCTGCAACTGCAGACCAAAGTGCTGTACAACCAGCAGCATAAAAACAAACAACGCAAAACAACAGGCAGCTTACTAATACAGATACTAACCCAACCTCGCGAAGGCTAATGACAAGAAATATTTTTTTAACACTGGCTTTAAAGGGGTGATGAACTGAGAAATCAAATTTTCCTTGAGCTTTTGACATCTAAGAGGTCATCATATTATAAGAATATCCTGTAAGTTTCAGAACTGAAAACGTCCTTGTTAGTCCAATAAAAGCTTTTATTGACACCAACCCCAGCAAACGACTCGTTTTTCAAAGTGGGGAACTATAATGTCAAAGAGGATAAAGCACCACCCCTACAGAAGAAGATCAACGCCTACTTCAACAAGGCCGGTTTAGCCCCGCCTGCACGGATAAACTTTATTTTTAATGACGTTCCAGCTGATGAGGTAAAACATTGTCCGTCTGTTTGCTTCATTTCATTGAGGATTGTTTTGTAAACAAGACTGGATTTGCAGACCGATTAAGATTAAAGATCGCTGCTGTGCCGTCTATATTGGATCTGACAGGAATTGTGCAACACATGGACTCTGGGTCGAACATGTATGGGCGAATCATTCCGGTTGCCATTTTACAACATTGGACGTTTTCAAAACAATTTCCCCCAAGTGCATCGATGGGTGAGTTGAAACTCATTATAATATGCAAAACTGTTATCCACTCACAGCAGTGGGCGTTTACTTCCAAGTCTTCAGTGCGAGACGCCCATTAAAACAAGGGTAGAAAATAGCCTATTACTTATTCATTCATGTTTTTGAATGCAAAAACCAAGCGAACGTCATAAATTGACCACAGACAACAATGTAATAACATTTAAAAAGCCAGTTCATGACCCCTTTAAATACATTTAAAGCAGCACAGTCTCATCCCAAGATGTTATATAACTGACGTCTTGGGACGTCTTTTGACCATACGTCAACATCCGCCTTTTTAGGGTACCCTTAAACGTCGGTTAGATGACGTTATCGGATCCTAACTCTACCCCAGACCTAAACCTACCCCGTCACCTAACTGACGTTAAAGGTAAAGCGTCAGTTGTATGACGGCCCGGGATCGTCATGTAACCGACGTTAAAGGGTACCCTAAAAAGGCGGATGTTGACGTATGGTCAAAAGACGTCATGTGACTTCTTGGGATGAGACTGTGTTATTTAAAGAAGTGATCTCTCTTAGTTCAAGAGGCAGACTATTCCAAAGCCTCGGACCCACAGCAGCAAAGGCCTGGTCACCTTTTAACTTTAAATGAGATCGAGGGACAGAAAGCAATGACTTTTGGGATCAAACTCTTTTTGTCATCAGCTATTATATAATCCCTAATGAATGAGCAAGCGAGTTAACCGCTTATTGGTATGAAATTAATGTTGGCACTGCTTTATTAAGAAAAGGCTTTGATCAGCATTGAGAATAAAAGGATAGAAAAGATAGCTTAGATCTGTTACAAGATGAGAATGTACAGTGTTTTATTCAAGGTTTAAAAGATAACTTGTTTGCTTAAAGTGGACATATTTGTTTTGTTTTTTTATGATTTTTTTTTTTTAATTTTTTAGTTTGTCTAGTTTTCAGGTCTGGATGTACTGGGGAGGGGGCTTTATATTGTGAACTTTAAAAGTATGACAACATTGTACATCAGAGTCTTATTTATTTAGAAAAAAAAAACCTAGGAAAATCCTGTTTTCTATTATGTCCCCTTTAAAGTCTTTCATCCCCCCTGTGATGTTCTGACTCAGATTGAATTAAAACAATCGGAAATCAACTTAACTCAAACAGTTCAAGGTAAAATGATTTCCCCTGAGGAACTCTCTCTTTCTCTAGATAAAACACACAATCATAGAGAGGTCACTACTGAGTGAAAACTACAGTATTCGTCAAGCTGCATCCGCTGTTTTTGTAAAAGTTGGTGCATCTAGCAGGAAATTTTACCTTTTACTCCCTGACCAGGTCAGATTATGATGATAAAATTAAATATGAAGGCAATGTCACTTATCCAGCCCACATTTTAATTTCTAAGCCTATAGTTAAGTTGACATGGTTGCGCATTTAGCTTGTTTACTATTTGCGCATTCCCATGGCTACTATTAACGGTTATCTGTTTAGAATCCAAAATATGACAACATACAAAGAGTCTGTTTATCTGTGTGCATGTTTTCTGGTCTGCTGCCCTGTGTTATTACACTTACTACACTTGGGGAATTTGTTGAAGGCTATCAGGTGATGCTGTCCTCCAGGAGCCGCGGCGCTACAGGCGGATCTTGGCACACGCTCGTACATCAGCCATGAACTTTACTGTCTGGCTGACTGACTGACAAGCACAAGAATTTGATACTGATTTGCCAGAATAGTAATACAACCATCCAAGTACCAGTGACGTTAAGGACGTAAATATTTTCAGACATATTTTAAGTTCACATACAGAAGCTAACAAAGTCGAACTATTAACTCTTCCGCCGCCATTGACGGATATTTTCGTCATTTAGGAGACAACACTTCCGCGGCATTAAAGGGGGTGGGATAATGCCCTCTTCACAAGATGCGAAACCACCCTTTTAACGGAAATTTCCGTCTTCGATGTCCCCAGAGTGTGTATGTGAAGTTTTAGTTAAATTGTTACTTTTTGAGGGTAATTATCAGCCGATTTTCTCATATTTAGAAGAATATCAGTAACCAGACAGTTTCATTGACTTCCATAGTAGGAAAAAAAATATACTATGGAAGTCAATGAGACCAGAAACTGTCTGCTTACTGATATTCTTCTAAATATCAGAAAATTGGCGGAATGGATTGAAAAATGGTAAAACCCAACAGTTTAACTCTGGGGGAGTGGTAACATGAGCCTATTTCCTTAAATGTCTTTATCTAGTTTGCATTTACCCATCTAGCTTCACTACCAACTCCAGAACTAGTTTACCTAATGAATTCATTTCTGTCCCTCATTAAACTGTATGTTTATGTGTGTCTTCATGATCTTCTGAAATGCTTGATCACCAGTTTAATGAATTTGTCCCGGTTCCAGGTTTATGTGCAGGTTCAGTAAGAGAGCCATTTAAATATCAGTGTGTGTGTGTGTGTGTGTGTGTGTGTGTGGAAGAGTTGTTTGATATACAGGACACTGTCTCCGTTGTTCAAAAAGTCAGGGTGGGTTAAATATTAGCCTCTGGCCACAATGATTCTGCCCTTCTCTGAGATATCACATATAAAGCCCCGCGCTTTGACAGAACATGAGGAACGATGGCCTGATTTGATATCACTACAACGTGTCTGTGTGTCGTAAAGTCACAATTGTGGGCAATATTTTACAGTTTTTATCAGTGCAAACAATAGGTTTCACACTGAACTCAAACAGGGGTTTAAACCAAGTGTACGAACCATGTGCAAGGTCTGTGGTGACTGCGGTTGCATCAAGTAATGCAGTCAGGCCTTGTACAGTGAGATACGGGCGGGAAACACAGGACAGAACGGACAGAACGAGAGGACCGTACCGCACACACATGCGCCATCAGAGAGAGTAAACAGTGAATGGCATTTGTTTGCGTAAGGACACTGGGAAGTACGCACACACAATCGCACCTGTTCTGTTGGTATTACTCTAGTCAAATAGTAGGCAGAGAGAATTGTGGGAAAGGGAGTGATATCAGGGCAAACTCCATAAAAGTGAGACTTTATTTGCAGGCCAAACCACGAGACAAAGATTGTCCGCTCGGTTTTGCCGACTCTCTCTTTTGAATTCCTGTCTGTCCTCTGGCTGTCAATCTGATTGACTGTCCTCCCACTGGACTTTGGTGAACTGGCACATGGAAACCATGTATTTATAGTCTGTCTCTGTCATTGCTGAAAGTTAGTTATCGGTTCACTTTGCCATTGATCAATGATCATATCCAAGTGCTGTCATTAAAACGCACTCGATTTTTACTTTTTCGGTAACACTTTAGAATAAGGTCTCATTTGTTAACATTAGTGAATGCATTCGCTTACATGACTCATATATTTTTAAAAGCATCTTTTTTAGTGTTAGGCCTGTCGCAGTTATTGATTAATTGTCTGATTTTCAAGATTTGTTATCACATTTTTTCTTTTGTCAAATCAACTTAAATAATTTATTTAGTTCAGATAACTTATTATTTTGAGTTTTTGATGATTAAATCAATCGCCTTCATTGTATTAACTCACTTTTTCCAGTTCAGTCAACTTAAAATTTTAAGGCAACCAGGTTACTTACTTTAAGTTAAACCAACAATATTATTTTACAGTGTGGTTATTCGATTTAATCGCTGTTATTTGAGATAATTGTGCAGTATAATGTTGTTCCATCAAAGCAATCTGTATTTTATATTTATAGTTAGTATAGTTATTATTCATAACTAATTAATTAGCGCTGTCTATAGATGAATCACATCTAACACACACATATATTATACTGTACATACACACACTTACATTATTTGGTAACACTTTATTTGAAGGGGTGTGCATAAGACTGACATGACACTGTCATAAACATGACATGACACCTGTCATGAACATGAAGGAGTCTTTATGAATGTTTATGACTGTCATTCGGTAAATTATGACACTTTTAATGCAAAGTTGACATTGTTTAAATTGTCTTTGTTATGACAACTTGACATTAACACAGACAAAAATGTCTTGATTAAGACAACTTGACATTAACCAAGAAATCATAACCTGTCAACCTGACATCTTTATAACTAGTCCAACGTGTTCCACTTTACTTGAGGTAAGGGGAAATATTAATGACACTGTTTTTTGATAGTATTTCACAGTGTAATAATAACCCTTAATGACATCTTTATAACTAGTACAATGTGTCCACTTCATTTGAGGACAAGTAAAATATTCATGACAGAGTTATGGTGTCATGACGGCCAAAGTCAAAACCAACCACACATGACAGGGTAATGTAATGTTAACGCAAAGCTAAATAACTTCTTTAAGTTTGATAATTAGACCTGTTATGACATATTTGTGACGGGTTATGATTTCTTGGTTAATGTCAAGTTGTCATAACAAAGACATTTCTGTCTGTGTTAATGTCAAGTTGTCATAACAAAGACATTTGAAACAATGTCAACTTTGCATTAGAAGTGTCAATTTACCGAATGACACTTAATGATAACAGTCATAAACATTCATAAAGACTCCTTCATGTTTATGACAGGTGTTATGTCATGTTTATGACAGTGTCATGTCAGTCTTATGCGCACCCCTTCAAATAAAGTCTGCCTCTTGTTACCCATTATATATATATATATATATATATATATATATATGTATGTATGTGTGTATATGATGTTGTGGAAATGTGATGCAAAAGCCTCTAAGTGCCATTTGAAATTTTCTTCTAGAATGATCATTTGTATCAAGCTTGTATATTTAAGTTCAGTGATTTCACTTAAATGGCAATGATAATTACCTATTAATTGTTATTTAAGTGAAATTACTGAACTTAAATATACAAGTTTGATAAAAATCATCATTAAAGAAGAAAATTTAAAATGGCATTTAGAGGCTTTTGCATCTGAACTCTTCATATATATATATATATATATATATATATATGTATATGTACAGCATATACTGTATATGCATATACATACACTTTTATAGTTAGATGTGATTTAATTGATTTGACAGCACTAACAAACATTCTTCATTTTCACAGCATTTAAGTCAATCATTGGCATATTTTAATTATAAGTTTTATTATATAAAGTGACAAAAACAAAACAAAATTTTTAATTGCAATTATTTGAATGTCAATCATCAGAACAAAACTCCTCATCATGATGGGCTTAGTTAATATATTAGTATAATATAATCTGTTCATTGTTTGTTCATGTTAGATCACACAGTGCATTAACAGATGTTTACAAATACTTAGGAATTAAAAAAATATATTCATGAATGTTAAAATTACCTCTGACTAAGATGAATAAATGCTCTAGAAGTATTGTTCATTATTAGTTCATGGTAACTAACACAGTAAATCACTGGTAACAAATGAAGCATTGTAAAGTGTTACATTTTCTTAAGTGGCACGTTGCTAAGGTGTTGCTAGGATATTTTGTGTAATTACTATGGTGTACTGGACGCTTCCTGTGCAAGTTTACAGATCACACCCACAGTTATCTCTGATATTCTGGTTTGCATTGGTGTCTGTTATACTCTACTGTTGGCTGTCTGTGTCACAACAGTCATAAAGTAGGAATGATCCTCACTTCCCTGATGCCTTCTGAGATAAGATGTGTGTGAGTTATGTTTATCTGTTTACGTTGACAGGAAAACAAGATTTATGGTTGCGATATTGGTGTCTGTCTTCTCTTGAGCTGAGTTTTTATGCCTCTCTTTACATATGCAGTACCCTTTGTTTGACGGGACAGAGGAAAAAGTAACCTGGTGCTTATCCCCAGAATGTTGTTTCGGCATCTACCCATGCTTACCTTGACCTCATGTTTATCTATGAACTTAAACACTGACACACACTCCGACTAGAAGAGTATGCAAGTTATCAATATCAGTATGTGTTATAAAGCATCTCCAACCCTCTGGACGGCAAGTCGTGGGAAAATAGTTGAATAATTTTGTTTCATTACTGCTTTCACTGGCCAATCTGCTCATTCTGACGTCACGCGTCACTGTTTCCAAGTCCAAAACATTATCAGATGCCAAAAACAAACAACAAATTGTACTTGTATACACTCTCACAGTGTGTTGAAATCACAATCCTAACCTTTATCTCCATTACGAAATCCCAGATGGCCAGACAGTGATTAATAATACATACTTTTGTTTGAAAGAATTAATACAAGTGCTTTAACATAAATATAAGCTGCGTCTCTCTCTTCTTTTTTGTGACTGGTTTTATAGACTAATGTGATGAAGAGTCAAAATGATTGATGCTGTCGAGTTGATACTGATGAACTCCTATTGAACCCAAAACATTGATTGAATCAAACTTTGTTGTTCAATGCTAATGTTTTGTTTTGACGATAAAACCTGCAAGATGTGTTCCAGCTGCCAATGAAAGATACTTTAACAGTGTCCTGTTCACATCTATGTGTAGATTTCTTGTGTGTGAGGCGAGCTATGAGGATAATTCGGTTATAGTGTGGATTTGTGTCACTGTAATTTCTCTCTAACACACACACGCGCGCGCACACTCAGTATCGTAAACACTGACCTTTAATTCTTCTAGTTTGTACACGAGTGGGCGGGGCACAGTAGATATCCTACGTTCTGATTGGCCGATTGGATTTGTGCGTTCTGTGAAGGGGCCGGATTAGTAGGTCACATGACCACTTCAGTTTCTCTCTCTCTCCTGAAGCAGATCCTCTCAAACAGACTCCCACGTACAAACACGCACATACACACTACAGCCGAAAATCCCCTATTTACGAGGGAAGAGGAGTGTGAGGGTTGCTTTGTGCGCTTTACTGAGTGGAATTGCGGACTGTTTGTGGAGTTTTTGGACTGTTTTTGTCGTGTTTAATCCTCCGAGGTAATCTGGGAATGAAAGAGATGCGCTCGAGCGCTCACTGGACTTTCACTCTGTGAGGATCAAACAGGTGAGTTTAACGGCACAAGTTCTGGAAAACCATTCCGTTTTCTTTTCAGGGTTACTATCTAACCCTGCATTATCGTTTAAAGGCAATTTGAACGATTGAGTAAACTACAAATATCGCCGCCTGAAATCACAACAGCGTCAAAAAACGATTTAAAGGTCTTATTCGTCAACCATCACTATTTTGTTTACATTAAAACAGTGTTTTTGCATCTTATCATATAATTTTTTTATAATTTTGTGCTTTTTTTTTTTAAAGCTTGCTTTGTCGTTATTTCTGCGCGAGCACGCACACACCCCCTCGCGGTCCGCTATTCTGAGCGCGAGACCCCGCAACGCCTGAAATCCGAGTCTGAAAATCTCTCGCTATTTATAGATCTGCTAAAGATAAGAGAGAAATAGTAAGGCATACCGACGATGATGGGTGGGTGTGGGAGGAAACACGCATATCGTAGCCTACAGTTCCATTAAAGGCACTTTAGGGCGTTTAAAACGGAAAAAAAAAATGTATAAATGTCACGACATGTGTATGTTAAAGGTTCACATACAGTCCTTAGGTCAGTCGCTCCCGCTGTGAATGGTAAGTAGTGGTTGTAATGGTTCATTTGAGGGCGACTGCTGTCTGAAATGGGACTCATGTCAAACTGAATTTAAGCTGTGTGAGAGAAAGCAGTAACACAATGAGGCATTGACTGTAGTGCACACTGTGAATCTTGTGACTCGTACTGCTGGTGTCCCTGTAGTGTATTTTATTGTCTTCTGTGGCTATTGTATTACTAGTGTCCTTTCTGTTATTACAGCACTGATCTGGATGCATGTGTGAGAAATCCAGCACAGCAGTTCATTATTGCCTGCCGAACAGCTGTTATAAGTGAGGATTGAGGGTCCTTCCCATTTCCCACACTTTTTTACTTTCCTCGGACACCCATGATGAGAGTTTGTAGCAATCAGCAACATGTTACAAATCAACACTGCTTTGCATTAAAGCAGTCGATAAGCTGAGATTGACAGGCATGGTTATGTAATTTCATGTACAGGACATCTGCCGCCTGTCCCAGTAGATTCAGATTCATATTTAGCAGATTATAATTCCATTATGCAGTTTTTCAACAGATGGTGGAAAGTTTTAAATGGTTGGATAGTTAATGGTTAGATAAATTAGGCATGGCACAAAAGTAGCATCTCTAATGCTCACCAAAGCTGCATTTATTTATTTAATTTCTGAATAACGATGTTTTTTTTCTGAAAGACTGAAAAAGCTGTTGATTCTTCTGTCAGATGCATTTAAGCAAAGAGTGCCTGAGAAAAACGCGTTGTCCTGATCCAGTTTCTGCGGTCAGATGAGATGTTGTCAGGCTATATGTCATTGTCATTAAAGGGATAGTTCACTTTGAAATTAATTTTCGGTCTGTTTTATCTTACCTCAAGGGCATCCAAGACGTAGGTGTCTTTGTTTCCACAGTATTTTCAATTTTGATATTTTTAGGTCAAACCGTTCTTGTCTGACAGTCATATAATGGAGGTCTATGGTCACCACCTCAAAGAGCATGCACAGAGAAGTCCAAATTAAACATGATTTAATGACTCGTAAATGTAAGGACACATTGATGGCCTAAGACACAAAACGAGCGGTTTGTGCGAGAAAACCAACAGTATCAATGTATCAAGGAATGTTTTTTTTTTCTTTTTCTCAAACAAACTGCTCGTTTCGTGTCTTAGGCCATCAATGTGTACTTACATTTACGAGTCATTAAATCATGTTTAATTTGGACTTCTCTGTGCATGCTCTTTGAGGTGGTGACCATAGACCTCCATTAAACTCTTTGCTTAAATGCGACAATGACATACTCGTAAATGTAAGTGCACATTGATGGCCTAAGACACGAAACGAGCGGTTTGTGTGAGAAAACGAACAGTATCAACATATCAAGGGAAGTTTTTTGGTTTTTTTGGTTTTCACCCACAAACCGCTCGTTTCGTGTCTTAGGCCATCAATGTGTACTTACATTTACGAGTATGTCATTGTCGCATTTAAGCAAAGAGCTTAATGGAGGTCTATGGTCACCACCTCAAAGAGCATGCACAGAGAAGTCCATTAAATCATTAATGGAGTCATTTAAATCATGTTTAATTTGGACTTCTCTGTGCATGCTCTTTGAGGTGGTGACCATAGACCTCCATTACATGACTGACAGACAAGAACGGTTTGACCTAAAAATATCAAAATTGAAAATACTGCGGAAACAAAGACACCTACATCTTGGATGCCCTTAAGGTAAGATAAAACATATCAAAAATTAATTTCAATTTGAACTATCCCTTTAATTCTAATGCCATTTCCGTAACTTGTTACTAAATAAAAAGTCTCACCTCATTAAAACGAACTTTCCTGTCTTGTCAGATGTTGAACTGTGCTTGTATTGCACACACAAATGGAGAGGCGCGCCTACAATAGTGGCTTAATGCGTAAATGTGGGTCCCATAGTCAAACCAGTTGAGAATTCGTTCTAAACTATAAAACTAATACGAAAATAATTTTTCGTTTTTATTGAACAATTACTTTTTTTTTTTTCCTTTTTTTTTAAATGACATTAGGTCATGAGTGGACCGAAGTTATATTTTTGGGGTCTTGTCAGTTGAGATCCACCCACCTGCTGTTGTTGTCATTGTTTAGAGCGGTTTGTAGCTCTGCCTTTCAGGCTTGGCTGCCTTCGTGTTGTATTTCTGTTTGTGGGTGGGTGTGTCAGAGTTGTCGTCATCTGTCAGCACACGACCGCAGCAGCCAGGCCTCGCTAGGTTCGATTATTGCATCATAAGTTGAAACGCATGAGCTTTGTGTGCACATATTGGCTTGTTGTCTTGACAGCATAATAAACTTAAGCTCCTCTCTTCCTGTTAGTCAGAACTGCTCAGATCTATCGTAGAGGTTGTATTTGTTTATGTTTGTGTGTGTTTATTTGACTTTTATATCCTAGAATGCAACTCTTAATCCGGTTAATCGGGATATTTGATGGTATAATTTTGCATGCGTGCAGTAGAGCACATGCCTAAAAATGTGGTGAAGTATTGCTTCCTGTTGGCTAGGTCTTCTATTCAGCCCACCGTGTGTGTGTGTGTGTGTGTGTTTCTGGCAGAGTTGTATGTCTCTAATCTAAACCATCTTTCCAAGTGCCATTTGACCTGAAAGAGCAGCTTAGCAACGTACAGCAGAGTAAAGAAGCCCACCCGCCCCTGCAGGATGAAGCGGAGACGGGAGTGAGTGTGAAAACAGAGAAGTACAGGTGAAAGCTTTTTACTGTGGCCTGGGAAAATGCCTGACACACATAGTCTGGCGCAACAGCAAAGTGATTTGAAAACAGTCCCAGCTGAATGTCTGATTTCAGTGGTCTTTGCTTGCCATTAGCAGAGTTAAACTACCACTTTAACTCATCACATTTTTATTTCACAGACATGAATGGTGCTTCAGGAGAGGTGTGCTGTTACTTTTCTAATCAATCAAACATGCTTTTCTCACCAGTTGGACCATAAAATGATCAAATCATGTCCTTAAATACAAAGTTTTGGGTCGCCAGGTCCGTAATTTGTATTGTTTTTGAAAGAAGTCTCTTATATTCAATTCATCAAGGCTGCATTTATTTGAAAACAAAAACAGCAATATTGCAATTTAAAATTGTATTTTAAACTGTAATTTATTCCTTGAGATGCAAAGTTGAATTTTCAGCATCATTACCCCCGTTTTCAGTCACATGATCCTTCAGAAATCATTCTGATCTGATGATTTGATGCTCAAATCATATCAATTGGAGAAAAACGACAACATATGTGCTGCTTTATATTTTTGTGGAAACCGTGATGTATATTTTTTGCAGGCTTCTTTGATAAATAGGAAGTTCAAAAGCACAGCATTTATTTGATTACTTTACTTGATTAGTTTAATGCATCCTTGCTGAATAAAAGTGTCATACCAACCCCAAACTTTTGAACGGCAGTGTGCCATCCGGAGAAATTCATTTTTAATACTCGGCTTTACTCAAACTAGAGAGAGATCCAAATGGCTGGGACAACTGTGTGTGAGAGTGAGAGAGAAAGAGCAAAAAATCAGGCCTAACTAAACCTGATAGTGTAATAGGATAGCGCTGCCCTGCTGTTGGTTGACCTGACGCCACCCTTCGCTGTTGGCGGGACAGCCACTCTTCTTTTTGTTGAGGGTGAACAAAGAACAAGGTCCATTGTGAATAGTGATACTCTCAGCAAGTGAGTTCAGCTTATGTGCGGTTGCCTGTTTTTATGATTGTATTGATCGGTGGATGTATGTGCGTGTTAGGTTTGCTCCCACAGCATCACTGATCGAGACTGTTTTGCCTGTCAAATGAAGCGCACAGGCTTCCTCTAGCAGCTTTTTTTCATTCAGTGAGTGGAAGATGTACTTTGCGTTTAATAGGGGTGTCCAATAATAAGTTTTTCTCTCTTTCCAGGTGAAAACTGCAGGACAATACAGTAGAGATGAGTGGCGAGTCGAGACCGGGGGTGGTGACAACCCCTCCACCCCCGAGCGCGGGGAAACGGGAGGGTTACTTCGACCGCATCAATGAAAATGACCCCGAATACCTGCGTGCACGCAACATGTCACCTGACCTGCGACAAGACTTCAACATGATGGAGCAGAAGAAAAGAGTCACACAGATACTACAGAGTCCAGTAAGGAAACACAAACACTCACTGTTAAAATAATGTGTTTTTGAATTTGGCTGAGAAATTACCCCCAAAAGACAGCTTAAAGTCATTATTGTGTTAAATGAGAAACGCATCAAATAGGCATTTCAAAAATCAGCGTTAGAAGGAAATATTATATTTGATTCAACATTTATTACACAAACTTTTATGCTTCATCTGGCCAATAAACGACAGATGATTAATTTTTTAAGGTCAACTATTTAGGTTTTTATTCATTTATTTGTATTAATATGGAAATTAGGTTTGTTGCGATAGTGTTACCAGTGTTCAGCCGCAACACCGGTTACATCACTTGCCCACCGCGGCATCCCCCCCCCACTGTCGGTTAGGGCTGAAACGATACAACGTCGACAATAAAAAAATTGTCGACAAATATCTTTGTTGTCGAGTAGTCGTTTGATCTCACGTGACCTAATGTAAGGGCGTGCAATATCGTGATTTGACCACTACGGCGCTGTGGCGCTAATGGGCTCTATGCACGGCGGTATTTCCGGTGAAGGTGTAAGGATGCTCGATAACAGAGACGCATGATGGTTTAGCGAGTAATCCGACCGGCACCCTCTGCATTAAAATCTAGCGTAACGTTGGCTTCTACGAGGTTGAAGGATAAAAGAGCCTTTATGCAAGTAGCGCTTCAGACTGCGACCAAATGGGCGACATGTCGCACTGGTGCGACCACCACGTTGCCCAATTGATAAGACCTGCATCTTCTGTTTACATACGAGAAACGTCAAATGGCAAACGAAAACGGTGCTATTCATTTGAGCTGATGTCAAAATTAGTCAGTCAGTCATTCATTTATATCGTTCAAACAGATAATTCATTCATTAATTAAGTAAATAGGTTTGTTCGACTTGAACCGGTACTGCACAAATCGATCGGTGACCACGCACGTCTCCCAGCAACACACAGCCGTGTTTCGTTTCTGAATAAATCCGCGTTTTGAGCGAATCAATTGGGTGAACCAATTATTTAATGGCCCATACATTATTGGTCAATAGTCTTGCTCGACTTGGACTTTTTAACAAGAAAATACTATCAGGTAAATTCATATTTAATTCTTTGGGTTACTCATCATTTTTTTGTAACCATTTGTGAAATTTACTAGCCGTTTCAGTGTGAATTGTTTTTAGAGTGAACTGTTTTTAAAGTAAAAACAGTGCACACTGAACAGGGATGTTTTCCACTGATTTAATCGGCAAGAATGTGCTTTTAATGTGAAAGTGTTTACTTATAGATTTTACAGGTTGTGTCGAGCCATGTGGTTTTGAATAAACGCCATGTTACCGTGAAGTTTACATTCAAAGCTTGGCATGAACTTCCAAAGTTAGTTTTGAACCCGGCCGCTTGCACCTTACACAGCCTCTCTGTTCACAATGAAAGATTTATGGTTTATTTTTTATCGGATGAGTGGGTTTGTCAGCAGGTTAATTGTGCGTTTGGTGTGATGTTTTGAGTTACAGCTCAATTGTACACACAAAGCCACAGCTGCAGCGTAAAACCCATCTGGAAGACCACACCCTATTACACACACACCACCGACATCCACCTCTCACATATAAACACAAGCCAGCCAGCGAAGCACAGCCCTGCACCTCTGACCTACAGTAGAGAGATTATAGCGAACACACACAAGATTACAGTTAACGCACGCTGCAGAGATTACAGTGAACATACTGCGCAGATTACACTCCTGCAGGCATTTCAGTAAACACACACTGTTTAAAGGAATGTTCTGGGTTCAACACAAGTTAAGCTGTATGGACGACATCTGTCACATGCCCAGGGCCCTATAAAATTTTCCCAATTCCGTTTTTTTTTTTTTTTCGTTTAAATTTTGGGAAATTCATTTTTTTTTACCTTTTCACTGTTATTTTAGCTGTAAAAAGAGTTTTATTTTAATGTAAATGATTAAAATGTACACAAATAAAATAGGAATGACCTTAAAATGATTGAGGTAACAGACATTTACTGCATGATGCAACATAGCACTGCACTCTTCAAGTAACAACAAAATATGGTTATGAGCTTTAAACTGTCCAGTAAAATAGATTATACTAGTTTATATAAGTTTAAATAAAAGGCATGCTCTGTGAGAATATGGATCCAACATCCACTGTGCAGGCTGGTGGTGGTGTAATGGAGTAAGGGATGTTCTCTTGGCACACTTTAGGCCCCTTAGTGCCAATTGGTGTGCGCTCTCGGACACATTTGGTCTCTCTCGTGCAGTGACACGTTTTAAATGCCACAAAAAAATAATAACGATTTTTTTTTTTAGCGCACGCACATCCACAAATTAGTCTATGTGTGGGAAACACTTCATTAAAGTCACGTGCAAACTGGGGTGCGTTTTCCGAAAGCATCGTTAGCCAACTATGGTCGCAAGTTCATCGTTATCAGCATAGTTTAACGAGTCGGTGTTTCCCGAAACAATCGTTCCAACGGACATTCGCAAACAGCATCGCAAAGTTGTGTGGTTTGAACGACAGCTCTCGACCTGTGGTTAGAAGCATCGTTTCTATATTGCATCACATTTGGACGTAATAAAAACTTATCTTGAGCAAAATAAGCAAGCTGACATTCAGTACAACCGGTGCCTTTTATTTAGAAAACATACAAATGTAATTTACGTCTTTTAGTTTTTCAAAAGATTTGAAGTACCGTGTTTGAAGAGTGCGCATGTGCGAACGTGCTCTACTATGTAAGAACGAGTCAAATATTGAGTTTGGTTATAAAGCAAAATAACTGAGAATAATTAGAAATAGTCCTCAGATGACAAATCTAGCGTTAATTGGATCTCAAACAGTTTCATTAAAAGTAGTTTCCGCCACGTGCGAAACCAACGTTGTTGAACGATACTTTGCGACAATGGGTTTCGGGAAATAGTCGTGACTAGTAGCTAGTTGATTTTTCCAACGATGCATCGTACTATGGTAGTGAAGCAGTGAAATACGTCGGTGTACGGGAAACGCACCCCTGCTCGGTACGAGGGCTTACCGTCGAGTAAGTTTCGCCATGCTTTGATTGTTTTGATGCCGTCATTGGAGCTGAAATGACCGGAATGGTTGCGTCGCCCAGATTTGCTTCTCCCGATCTGCATTTTCACCACACATACGTTCTTCTCCCACACAAAAACAGAATTTCATTCCAAATATATAAAATTCCACGTTAACACTAGATTGCGATTGTGGAAATTATAGGGCCCTACAAGCCATCGATTAACTCGGCAAATAATACCAACTCGTACCTCACTTTATAAAAAATATAACCATTTTTAAAAATAAATGTTTAAGTTTTAATTATAAAATGACAAATGCTAAATTTAAATGTTAAGGGTTTTTGTGGTGGAAAAGGATCAGTCTAAACGTCTGCACTTAGACCTTTCCTTTGACCTGAATTTGAAGCAAGGTCGAGCGCTTTAACGTCAGTGTTTGAAAGTGAAATGCATTCTTTCTGTCATTGCGATCTCTGTAATTGTGATAAACAAGAGGCAGTGTGACAGCACGGTTAATTACGCCATGGCCTGCTGGGCTTTATTAGCAGCAGCTGTCCGAGCACGTGTTTCTGAGACGCACTATATACTATTCTCACTCATCCTTCACTCTGTGTGGAGAGGAGCCAGGCCGGGTAGGCAGCAGGTGTATCGGCACACAGGACTGTGTGTTTACGTCTGCGCTATCAGAGACGATTCAACAAGCATCTCTTTCATCTCTCTCTGTAGCGTCAGGGTTTGCACGTGTGTGCGTGTGGAAGAGAGCTGCTTAAATTACACGTCTGTCCGTAGACTGTGTTTAAGGTCGGACTATTATAGGCAGGGCGGAGTTTGCTATGCTTAGACCTCATCTGCGCTCGCTCTCACAACCAAAACAAATGGAGACATCTCAATGTGAACGCAAGCCGTCCTGGAAACTGAGGCAAAGTAGTGGTTTGATCCGACGGATATTTGCTTAGGCGGTTAAACAACATGTTAATGATATTAAACTGTTATGGCAAAATTGAATTTGTCTTGAATTTCCTCCCTTGGGTTATTTTTAGTTCCCCCACTCCCCCCCCCTGTTTCCATTTTCAGCATTAAAGCATGCCATTCCCAGAGTCGTAACTGTTTTCCAAGAGCGCTGTGGTTTGGTTTGGTCAGGACCATCGCGTTTGAGAGGATTTCATGCTGAGAGGCAGGCGGGATCGTTCATACCTTGTCCCGGGCGTCCAAGCACAATTTAATACTTGCACAGGGAATTAAAGCCCAGGATATCTCCATCTCACCTTTGTACTTAGTACGTAGTTTTGACTCGGACTGTTACGCTTGAAGAGCCGCCCATGTGCTCATAGCAGGAGGTGAATGGGTTACTAAAACAAATTCGTATCAAAACTCACTCTGACCCACATTACAATGTCGCATCACGGCCATCTTCCACCATGACGGATACAGTTTTGTGGTTTGATGTTAATGTAGCAACTGTGTTTTGTATTATGAAGTTATATCTTCACCGCTTTGATCTAATGACAAGTGTGGGCATAACAGCTCATGTTTGTGTGATGGCATAACCCTACAAGCATGCATGGCTTGTTTTGGAGACATGGTTGATTCCCACAGTTAAAGGAGTAGTTCGCTTTAAAAGAAAAAAAACGTTTGCTGATAATTTACTCACCCCCATGTCATCCAAGATGTCCATGTCATTCTTTCTTCAGTCGAAAAGAAATTAAGGTTTTTGATTAAAATATTCCTGGATTTTTCTCCATATAATGGACTTCATTGGGAACCAAACAGTTCAAGGTCCAAATGAGAGTTTCAGTGCAGCTTCAAAGGGCTTTAAACGACACCAGACGATGAATAAGGGTCTTATCAAGCGAAACGATCACTCATTTAAAAAATAAATAAAAAAAGTTTAAGTTTTATAAGCTCAAATGCTCGCCTTGCTCTGTTCTGTGATGAGCGTTCGTGACTCTCCCGTTCAAACTCGGTCATCAAAATGAACAAATCTTTTTTCGAGTCATGACTCGAAGGGTCCTAGATAAGACCCTGATTCATCGTCTGGTGTCGTTTAAATCCCTTTGAAGCTGCACTGAAACTATTATTTGGACCTTGAACCGTTTGGTTCCCATTGAAGTACATTATATGGAGAAAAATCCTGGAATTTTTTCATCAAAAACCTTAATTTCTTTTCGACTGAAGAAAGAAAGACGTGGACATCTTGGATGACGTGTAAATTATCAGCAAAAGTTTTTAAAAGTGAACTATCCTCAATCTTTCATCATGCTGTTCACCTCTGAAGTAGTTCGCTGAACTGCACACAGCAAAACTGATCCCAGATTGCTTGTGTGCTTATTCGCACCTATTTAGTGTAGTAGACAAGCAGCACTATTACTATTGCTTATACTTAAAGTGCTGTCACATTAGCCACATTTCTGCAAAACTTTCCAAGCAAGAAACATCCAGTGTCTTTTGTCAATATATTACACAAGTCACATTCAAACCACGAATCTTTCTTCTTAAACACTGCAAATTCGCATTACCCACCTGAATGTGTTGCGAAATCTGTGAGATTTTCCACCTTAACGTGATTTTCCCAATGTCATAGATTGCTATTAAAAAGACTGGATTTTGGATTCATGACCACACCTTTAAGAGTTAAAAATTAACAAACCCATAACCATAGTTTGGGGCTGTTATGTGTGTATTAAGGGCATGCGTTTGTGGCTTCTTTCTTTCCCTTTGTTTTCTCGGTATATGCTTGATGGATTAGGCTCTCGTTCAAAAAACCAAACAAACCTAAAGGCCAATGTAATTTGATTCCTCTGTAGTTTTCCACCCTAGATTAGTAATAAGTACTGATTAGTTTACACACAAGCACAAAGCAGGACATTTCTCCTCGTAGATATCTAGTTAACCATTAACTAAACTCTGAGTGTCTCTCAAAGATTTGATTTCAATGACCCTAAACTTTGGCAAATCTAGTGATTGATTGGTGCTTATTATTACGGTATAAGCACAACTTTAAAAAGCCATTATTTATCCCAGTACATGTAATTTGCATAAACCTAGCTTAAAACAGCTGGTTTTTAACCACTGCTCACCATTTTGTGTGCAAAATCCATCGGGCAATCAGTGAACAGAGCATGTCTGCTTAGACTTGTTTACCTTTCTTGTTCTGGTTTATGCATACATGTTTTTGCATAGTGTTTGCATGTATTCTGCCTGCTTAGGACGCATCAGTGTGACAGCCTTGCATACTGTGCATGCATCATCTCACATCCAGACACTTACTCACACCTGGTAATAAGACAAGTCTTTGTGCACTTGTTCAGTAAGAATGAAGTCATCATAACTGAAGTGTTGTGTCAGTGAATCTCCTCTGTTATTACCAGCATGTGAGCACTCTATCAATGTCTGCGATTCATTCTTCAGTCTGAACTCTTTGATCCGAACAGGTGTGCAGAATGACAGCACATTTTACAGAAGAGCTTTATCACTGGTTTTAAAAAACAGTTATGAATCAGTGTTTCCCCTAGGATCTTTCTCAGGGGGGGTGGTAGATCCCCCAAAACTACTAGTTTCGCAGAGTGGGCGTGTTACGGATATGTGGTGGGTTAGGGTGTCGCAATATTGATATTGTCGGGATTTTCTATTTACAACAAAGTGATCTAATTGCTTCCCCAATATAGGATAGCATTTAAATATAACAATATGTAACGACAAAGTTTAAAGTGGCTTCATAAATTAATAGGGCTGTCAGTTTAACGCGTTATTAACGGCGTTAACGCAAACCCATTTTAACGGCGTTATTTTTTTTATCGCGCGATTAACGGCCTTTTTGTCCTAGCAAACTTTGTAGTTTTTTCACATGCTTTTGCAACAGTATGCGGCATGCGTCCTGATCCATTTCGGCGTCTCGCTAAGATTCTGAATGGAAAGTTTACTTTTAAAAAGTTGCCAAATTGTCCCATTGACAAGACCAAAGTGATCTGTGTGTTTTGTCGTTGTGAACTGAGCTATCATCACAGCACGTCCAGTCTGAAACACCACTTGATGATGGCCAAGCAAGCAAAACACACACACACACACACACACACACACACACACAGAGAGATGACGCAAATTCTCCGCCCCTCGTCAATAAAGGACCTCGTCAGTATTTCTTTCACCCTTTTATTGATGGACAGTGTTACATTGTGTGAGAGATTATTTATATATGTTAGTGTGAAATTGAACACTATTCCAATATTATTTTCAATAATAATAATAAAAAAAAAAACATTTGCACTAAACAAGCCGATCCACTTTTCCATGTTGATAAGAGCATTAAAATGAGAAAAAATAATGTAACAAAAAGAAATCAAAAGACATTTAGAATAGATAAAAATGTGCGATTAATCGTGAGTTAACTACGACATTAATGCGATTAATCGCGATTAAATATTTTAATCGTTTGACAGCACTATAAATTAATTAAAAAAAAAGAAAGCAAAACACACATGATGCAAAGTGGTAGGGGATTTCCTCCTTTAAACATTGAAAATATGTTTTCAAGGTTTCAATGGACTTGGATAACCAAATTATTTAAGACAAATGTTACTACAAGAGATTTTACTTTCATTTGGTGCTGGGCGGTTTGACCAAACATTGATATCAAGTTTTTTGTTTTTGTTTTCAGAATTAAGCCGGTTTTCTGGTTTGACTTTTTTTTTTCCATGCATAATCAGTTGTTCAAAGCATTTTCTATTGGTTGAGAGAGGAATTACTGCAATAAATTGACTTAGGATGGTCTATTTTATTGTCATTAGTTAAAATTGTAGAATAGAATAGCGCCCAGTATAACCTAAAATTGTTATTTCTTAACGTTCTAATAACATTCTTATAACCAAGCAAGAACGTTAATACAACGTCTAAAAAACTGGACGTTTTGAATGACGTTTTTATAACTAAATGGAAACGTTATGAAACATTCTTATAACCTAAAATTGTTAGCTGGGGAAGAGGAGAGATTCGTGATTGCACTGAACACGTTTTAAGTGCAGGATTCTCTGAGCGAGCCCAGAGAAAATAGACCTATTCTTACAAGAGCAGCCTGTATCTGAGAGCACACGCGAGCAGAGATTTATTAAATTAATTTACTCTCGCGCTACAATAGTGCGCTCTCGACATTTGACAAGAAAATAACGCCATAGTTCTGCAGCATCCACTTTCCCTGTAACGTAAAACCAGAGCACTGCTGTTTGATTTACCCTCGCCTCACCGTCGCTGCTTAGAAGTGCAACATTGTAAATAGTCCGTCTAAAACAGTGTCGGCGGTGCAGCGTAACGTTCATTCCGAACGTTGTGTAATTAAATACATCGGTATGGCGGTATATTAAAAATGAACATCGTAACCAAAATATACTCCGGTTTTCACTGTTTTTGTCTGTAGAGAACATCATATCTCCTCCTGATTGAGTGGAGTAGGCCTCTAGGTTAATATACTTAACTAGGTGTTGCGGTACAAGTGGTAAAAACTGTACGTGAAGGTTAAAGTGTGTTGGAGCGTGAGAGGATTAAAGCTGTGTTTTCATCTCTCATTACTGTGTGTGAGGTATCTCTAATCTCATGCTTGCTTTCTCTTTCAGGCATTTAAAGATGAACTGGAGGGAATGATCCAGGAACAGATGAACAAGGGGAATAACCCAGCAGGACTGCTCGCTCTACGGCAGATCGCAGACTTCTTCATGACCAGCTCCTTAGCCGGTTTCTCCACCTCCCCCCTCAGTGAGTATCGCCATGGTGCGGCTCATCTCCACTGCAACAGATTGCATCAGAGACTCCTCCACCTGTTCACAGTTACAGTTCAATTCCCATGTTCATTTGCCATTTATTTACGAAGCACATTTGAAAGCAACCTTGGTTGACCAAAAGTGCTGTACGTAAAAAATACACACATGCAGTTTCAAAAGGTTAAAAGCACAAGAGGTTTTTTTAGCATACAAGTCGCTAAATAATTGCTGTTTCCATAAACAAACGTTGAAGAAGGAAATACGAGCAGCCAAGTCAAGAAAGCATTTGCATTCTTTTATCTCACTACTTCCTGCCTTATCACCCCATCCAGCTCTCCACACATGTGTCTGTTTTCTCTCGGTGCTCTGCTATGCGGAACTAATCAGTGGAACTTCAGTGAACCCCTTTCAGGACTGACTGTACATTCAGAGGCGAAACCTCACAGGTGTCTGTAGACCATCCATAGGTCGAGAGCGTTTTCTAGAGCAGATAACTGGATCTGATAATTCAGCCCGTTCTCATCCTTTAGCGTCATATAGAACGCTATATGACAAAACGGCGCTATACTACGCGCATGGCACCCTTTATCGTTAATATAACACGCAAACCCAAGTCGTCATAAATTCTTTAGCGTAATATGAGACTACCCTACCCTACCCCACACCTAAACCTACCCATCACAGCGCGTGTTATATTAACGATAACGGGTGCCATGTGCGTAGAACAGCGCCGTTTTGTCATATAGCGTTCTATATGATGCTAAAGGATGAGAATGCGTTGGATTATTCAGATCATATACTTCTCATATACGTCATATACTTACGCTTTTGACATTTCGTATACATCCAAAGCACATGGCACCCTTTAGCGTCAATATGAGACGCAGTTATATATATGGGCCAGAAGGCGCCTCCTAGTGGTGTAACCCTAACCCTACCCCAGAACCAAACCTACCATAACCGAAGCGTGTTATATTGACGCTAAAGTGTGCCATGTGTGTTAGATGAAATTTCTAAAGCGTCACTATATGACACCCTAGGATGAGAATGCGTTGGATAATTAGAAATACGAATTTAATGCACTCTCAAAAAAAAAAACTCAAACTCAAAAGCTCCCTTTTCAGTTTACACAGTTTATTTATGACTGCCCACATTTGCACAGATATATGAAGTCTATTCAATGTAGATTTTGAAAGCAATTCTCAATCTTACACTACACCAAGCTCCGGATTGATCCAGCTGGAGTTTTATTCAGCCAACTGGAGTTCTGGAAAGAGTTCTCTGACATTTAGACTTCTGAAATGCTCTAGAATGAGATCCGGTGCTGCATTTCCCAAAAGCATTGTGAGCCCGAGTCCCCAAGTGTGTGGAGACCGTTGCCACCAGTGTTCATTACAATAAAATCAAAATGCTTTTGGGAAAAGTAGCCCAGGATTGTTTAGTAAAGTTCTAGGATAGACGTGTGGAATGTTTAGTTCACGGATGAGTTCTGGAACATTTAGCCGAGTGTAGTTCTGTAATAAACTTCCAGGCAACCTGTAACCAGTGTTTTTGCAACCTTATAACCGTGAAAGTGCACTGGAACGGCAGTCAAACCCGTGACTTTCCACCCTTGAACTCGACGCCACATAGCCCGCGAAACCATACAAAACAACAAAGGCAGCCCCTACGGATGCAGTGTTTCTGCAGGATAACAGAATATACCTTACGACAATATAATGTTAGCTAGTGTTCAGTCCATTGAGTGCAAAGATAAATTAATACCTAATAAATTTCTAAATATAGAAATGAAGTAAAATAAAAGGTATAACAGCTTATCTTGTCTTATGCGCTGTTTTTCCTCCTCAGTTTCCCTCAAATAAACAGGAGTAGTAAGCATCTTTGGCGACAGAAATTATTGCAAATGCGCATAAGCCCCGAAAGGGTCCCCCATGCTGGTTTATTTACATCTAGCTACCACAATTCCTTGCGCTCAGGTAGTTTGCCGTGACTGGAATGCTAGAGTCGTGGTTTGAAGTCGTGATTTACGTCTGTGTTTTATATAAATGTGATTATTGTAGATGCGAAGAGCTTAAAGGGTTAGTTCACCCAAAAATGTAAAACCATATGTATTTTTTCCTACTATGGTAGTCAATGGGGATTGAGATCTGTTTGATTAAAACATTCTTCCAAATATCTTCCTTTGTGTTCAGCAGAACAAATAAACACATAGAGGTTTGGAACAACATGAGGGTGAGTAAATACTGACAGAATTTTCAGAATTTTCCCATTTTGGGTGAACTATCCCTTTAACCGTGTTTATTGTATGGATTATTTTTTTTTTTTTACTATTATTGGATTTCCTAATTCTTTGACCCGAATCCCTAAAGGTTATAAATAAGCTATGGCAAATTGATTTCAGGAATGTTATTAGCTGTATAAATTCAATCCAACTAAAACGTCTTTATTAGATTTCAGGCGTATCAGAGTTTCATGGACACCTCTGAGGTGTTATCAGTTAATCTGGACACACCACTGGCTTTATTTAGAGTCTGAGTTTGATCAGTATCAGGGTATCGACTTACACACCACTTCGTTGCCCATATTATTCCCATGAGAGCGGTCCTAAAATGTCAATTTCAAGTTGTGCGCTCAGTTGGCCTCATTAATATCTAAGAAACATACTTTTTTAAGTGAAGTCTTATCTTATTAAATGGTTTAAAACTGTTAATGCCTGGTTCAGATTACACGATTTTTTTTGTCCGTTACGATAGTCACTGTGTCAGGTTTGCGCGATTTTGGCTCCTTAAAATTTTTTCGTGTCGTGGACAAGACTACACGTTACTTCCTGACCAGTGTTTAACGGCGCGCGTGATGTCATCGAGAAGGCGAAACTCGTAGCGAGTGACTTCCTGGATTGATCGGCATTGCCTTCTTCAGTGTGAGAAATACACGGTGTGGCGTGTGAGTGTGTGAACTGGTTGAATTGCGTGTGTTTCACGGCCATTGCGTGAGACTTGAGAACCCTTCTTGAAGAGGACAGTATGGGCTGTCAATCCTCCAAGGAGAACTTGAGGTAAAATATTGTTTTCTTATATATTTTTACTTTTAGCACCATCGTCTCTCTTTCGTTTGGTCTTTTTTGAAAGTTGTATATGGAAAAGCTTCTCCTCCTATTGGTCAACCTCATACATGTGACGGAACCGTCGTGGACGACCGTTAAAAAAATTAAACATGCTAGTCTTTTTGTCGTGATGTCGCGAAGCATCGCAGACACGATGTAGGTTGTCGCCCACTATGACACACTATACGAGATGATACGATCGAATTTTGCGTCCCGACACCCGTTGTCGTTTACGAATCCCCACGACACCCTAAGTCAAACGGATCGTGCCAAAATCGGGCTAAAATCGTGTAATCTGAACGAACAAACCAGAAAGCAGCACATAGAAATTTGTTTATTTTGTGTCTTTGACCAGTTCTTGAATTCCTGGTTTTCGCAGGTTTGGGCATGGTGACCCCAATAAACGACATGTTCAGCATGGAGTCCAGTACTATGGTGAAGGGAGAGAAACAGACCCGCTGCAAACTGGCCAGCCTCTACAGAATAGTGGACCTGTTCAGCTGGGCCCACTTCACAAGCTGTTACATTACAGTAAGCCTTAGCTTTCCATCATTAATATTGGTACCAGAGGTTAAATAATATAGTTGATTTTGTGTTAGTATTTCAGAACAAGGAAATGAAAGTGAATGGTGTTATCCAGTGTTTGGCAATCCATTCCTGCAGGCAAAACATAGTTCCTCTTATCAGACGCTGGAAATTTAATGTAATTTAATTCATTGAGCCAAGTAGGTCTATAAACCTTCCATTCATTGAATCCCCAATAATGTCATATTATACTATTATATTATTAAATAACACACCACTACTTTTTGAATGGCCGTCAATGGAGAAATATGCTGCTTGTCATCATACTTTTGTAGTTACAGCATCTCTGCTAATGCTGATGTGCTAAAAAACGAAATATCCACTTTTTTTAAAAATATATGGATGGCTGTTGGTACGGATTAAAAAAAAACTCGTTCTAATTTGATCACGAGAAGAAAAGCAGCTGCTTATTTGTTTTTGTTTTTTACCTTGTAGGTTCGTGTCAGTAAGGAACAGGATCACATCCTCATCATCCCCAGAGGGCTGTCCTTTGCCGAGGCCTCCGCGTCCAATCTGGTAAACAAACTGCCTGTCTCGCATTATCACAGTAGAGCCTGATAGCGGTTCTGGGAATGGCTTGAGCATCACGCCCACAGGGCTGACAGGGTCACTTTGAGCAGCGACTTCAGCTCAAACTCACATTCCAGTGAGAATGAAAATAGATTCGACAGGCTTTTGTCGTTCTTACCTTCGGAATTCATTTATCAGTTACATATTATGTCAATGACATGATAAATGATAGCTTATTGGTTACATTTTATGCTGTTTATCTTAGTGGTTTAACAGCCTGTTTAAATTTTTGAGACATTATTATTGCCCAGAGCTTAATAATAGTTGAAATGATGTGTGTTTGTCTTTGTGTTTGGGATTTAAGTCTGAAATGTGCCGTGCACAGAGGGAACGTGTGTTGGCAGACCTTGACTGAGCGCTCTGATCGTTGCCAATGTTTGACATGCTTAATCAGCCGGTTATTTCTTTGAAATCTCAGAGTGGGTTTTGGATCCGTACTAGCCTGTGTGTTCATGTTAGTCGGAGGCTTTTAGTGCCTGTAGTTGTTCATGCTTATTATTTAGTATTCTTATTATTTCCCTGGTCCTGGAAAACCCCTGCATTGAACATTTAGGATATTTCCCTAAGTATACTCCAGTTTGGCACTAGAAAGTTCCTTCCCTGTCCTGTATTTGTGCTATTTCTCTGCAGAAGTTGACATATTTAAATGTCTGTGTACTTTTTCAGACAATTTCAGAGAGGCTAGCACTAGGAAGCTAGTTTTGAAAGCCTGAGATCCCACCCTCCCTTCAAAACACATCAAAACACATGAACCCACTCCGCAGAATCTGCTAAGCCTCACAAAATGAGAGATGTTAAACTACCTCATGTCTCAAACAGTACAAAAATAATTAGGGATGCACGATATATCGGCCACATTATCGGTATCGGCCGATTTTAATATTATCGTTATCGGCCCAACAAGAACATTTTAGCCGATATCTAAAAGCTGATAAATAATGTATTTTATCCTTCAGCTGAGGCACTTTAGATGCGCACTGTTCAACATGATGCTTTTAAATTGCTTGAAATACGATTGAAATCACTTTAAAAAGGGAAAATCCAGTTAAAGTGCAAAATGTGCAGCGCAAGTCTGTCATATCGGCTACAAAACATTAAAATACGAACATCATAATTGTGTGTGTATCTTGGCTTTTAATGAGGAGACTTTTTAATAATCAGGCTCTCAAAAATTTTCTAAAAATGTGGATTTAGATTTATCGGCCAATATATCGGTTATCGGCTTTTAAATATGAGATTATCGGTTATCGGTATCGGCCATAATGAATGTAAACAACTTACAGAGCTCTTACTTGTACCACCTGACTGCTGCAGATTCATTTCTGTGTTGATGGTGTTGACATAAAAACACATATCCAAGTTTGAGGATGTGAAAAGCTCCAGCTTTAACGAGTTACGGGTTACCATCTTGTAATTACGGTTATGACAGGCGTGAACATAATGAGTTTTGTCATGCTCGTGGTGGATGCTGTTTTGACAAATTCCTGCCAATCAGGTGATTTAGTGCTGGAATGAGTTTGTGAAGCACATGTCCTCCTGTCTGCAGCATTTATGACCCCGTGAACTGAATTGAAATCGCCTGAGGACAGCAGCGGCAGTGTCTGCATCCGACTTGCACTCTTGCGCTGGCTAATGCTGTTTTTAATGCTGGATTGTGTTTGGGGTAGAGTTACTCGCATAATACACTCAGTCATTGTGTCGTTTCAGGATCGCGGCAGATTTCTTTGCTCTTGCACTCTTGGTTAGATAATAGGCTTTAATTTGTTGACCTTTTATTTATGGATCAAAGCCAGTACAGGTTTGTCCAGTTTCTGTTTGTGTGGACTGTTTTAGACAGTGAGAGTTAGATAAATCCCGATCTCTTTTGCATAGTCGAATATACAGGATTTTTTTTTTTTTATCTGTGTGTGTGAGAGATGGAGAGAGAGAGAAAGAGCTCAGTGTTGCTGACACCGCTCCTGTTCTCCGCTTCTGTGGGCGTGGCTGTGGATTTGTGCCCGCTGGAATGAGGCCAGCAATCTGGGTCACAGTTTTATTAACCCTCTATGTGATCAGTCACTTTTACACTCTCTCTTGTACACTTATAAGTACACTAGATGCCCCTTAACAGAGAAGAATATGAGGAGAAGAGAATGCCCCTGCAAAACTGCCATGACTCGGGACTAGGGTGTTGTGTGTAGTCAAAAGGTCGACACGGCTCTGATCTATTCTTTGAAGTACATTTCAACATCAACAAAAAAACATTATTTGGGGTCATTTTTAAGTTTGATCACGTTCACAAAACTTGTAAATAGTCAATATATCAAAAGACCAAAGCATCTGCTTTTCAACAAACAAATACAATTATTCTAGCTTCATTCATTCTTTAATCAACACTTGAAAGTTTCATGTAAAAACAACAACGTTTTGAACAAAAAAATCAACATTTTCGAAGGAAATTATGTTTTTGTCAAATACTTTGTTTTGATCGGATTCAAAATGACGGATCAAAACATGAATTATCGGCGAATGAGTCCATCAACACGCCCAGAGCTTGCACGGTCTTATACCTTTGTGGGTTTCGGCATTCCATACGGTAATGTTTGGCAGTTTCTGATTTATGTGCCGTTGATGGTTAGCTAACTTGTGCGTAAACAGCTCCTCTTCATCTTCACTTGTTTTTGGATCAGGAAATGCTGTGCTATTTAAGAAGATGCAGATCGCCATACATACTTCTGAATGGCAGGGAAGTGTTGTCATATATGACGGAAAATCTTGTCTATGGTGGGAAAGAGTTAATGTAGGGCTGGGCGATATGGCCAAAAAAAGTAATCACGATATTTTTTTTTTATATCAGTCGATATCGATAATTATCACAATAAATGTCACATTTTTATTTCTTTCGAGTTTAAAGGCAGATTTTTGCTCCTAAGTGAAAGTTGTAGAAACCAGAACGTTAATTGTGATTTTAAACTACTCTTTGTCAGAACATTTCGCAAATCTCAGGTAGAACATTCAAACATGTCATTTTTCCCTTAACAAAATAAATATCTGAATGGAAAAACATATTTCTTAGTTTCTGTATGCGCTAATAGGGGATAGTGTTTCAAGTCTTGAAACAGGTTTGTGTTGCCTGGCACGTATCTTCAGCACAATTTGGAGTGCAGGCTGCAATATTTATATTACATGTTTTGTCTCGAAACGCATATTTGACAGTGCGTTGACAGTAGTATTAGCTTGAGTTAGGATGAGATTTACTATGTTAAACTTATGTTAATTAACAAAAACAGTAACATTTAAAAAAAAAAAATAATAATAACAACCTAGATTTGTTAAAATTGTATATTCTGAGTGAGTTTTATTCAAATTAACCATTGGTCATCCTGTGTCGTGCATTTAGTTCTGAGCGAGCTGAGGCGATACTAAAATGTGACGTAAAAACAATGCCGACTGCTGATTGGTCAGAGAGAATCGTCACTCTTCACTGCGTCATCATTGCATGCACCAGATGGAGTATCAAGAATATCCCCGCCATTTTTAAATAGTTAGATAGTTACTAAACTTACTACTATTGTAATGGCAACTCTGAAGAATACGCTGTGGTCAAACGAGGAGGTGCAGACTTTCCTTTGTGTGGTTGCCGAAGAGAGGATCCAGCGAGAGATTGATAGGGCAATGAGGAACGAAAGGCGTCGCTATGACGACTGGGTACTATTTGTGGCTGGACTGTCGGCAATGTGAAAAAAAAAAAGGTGAAAAGCGAGGCGAGTCGAGCTGGTACCAATGGGGTAATCCATCGACCGGAAGTTGAAGCTGGCCGGGTGCCGCCATCTTTTAGCAGAACTTCACTTGCGTTAGCATTCCCATTGACTCCCATTCATTTTGGCGTCACTTTGACGGCGAATAACTTTACATCTGAGGCGTTTGAAGACTCCATTTTTCCTTTATGTATTTCTAAAGAAACATGACAATGAATAAAATGCTCCATTACCTTTTAGCTTATGTTATGGCCCCGTAGAAGCAGTTTTTTGTAAAAGTAGGCTAACGATTGCGTCATAACCACGCGACTCCGTTGCACAGTAGAGAGATTACCGTATGGACATGAGGAGAAGGTACCGCGCAATTGGGGAAACATGGAGGCAAAATGAATAACTAGAAAAAGTTCCTCCTGCTCCACTCTCCGCCTCTCTGCAAGTTTCGAAAGGGTTGCTCTCGTCACATTTACGTCATCAAGCTCTGTTTGAGTCTGCGCATCAGGAACGGAAGTGCTAAAAAATCGTCAAAAATGGGCTTCACTTGTCTCAATGGAGTTCCAATGAGATCGCTCTGTCCACTTCTTATACTGTCTATGGCTGGTACTGGTAATAGAAAAGCGCCATCATTGTGCTCTTAAAAAGGTCTCTGATCTATTTTTAATTAGTGAAGCAACTCACACAAGTCACTTTCAAACCAAGCAGCTTTCTGTTTGTCAATGCAGCAAATCCAACTTTAATTTCCGCTTTGCGAAATCTGCATGGGGAAATCAGTCGTACTCAAGCATTTCAGCATGGATTTCGTCCTCAATGATAAATGGCCCCCCCACCTAAAGGAGTGTGTTCAAATTCCTAACCACAATGTTGATTAGTGTTTTGCTAAACCAAGCTTTTACTGTTACAATAATGTGGCATGAGATTTCATGTCTATGAAGCAACTGCTGTGAACCGTTCCAAATGTTCCTGTAACAGGAAATTGTAACTTGTAGCTTTTGTTTTTTCCTTTTTATGCCCTTTAATTGCACTGTAAAATGTTTTTCACTCCACAAAATTCAATTCGTAATGATGAATATAAAATGTGTTTGCTGGACTATTTTACAGCAACCACACATACATACTGATTAAAGCATTTACTCGTACCATGTATTACTTAATAACCAAAGACCTACTCTGAGCTACAAGTCTCTTCATATCGGATGAGAGATTTTGACAGTTTCCTGACTCGTCTTGAAAGAACTGTTAGGTCTTGTTTCAGTCCATTAGCGTTAGTGTGATGGCATAATGTCTACATAGAAGACCAACCAACTTCCTGTGGCCATTTTAATAGTCAAAATATAACCGATGAAGAAAGAATAGCATGAGATAGATGTCAGAACTGTCATGTGATATTAGTGGCCGTGTGTAAACACGATCGGTTGGATGTCTCTCATAGCTCATTAGCAGAGCAGAGGGACTGTGCGTTAATTTTAGCTGGTAGTGATATGGGGTGCGGCATCGGCAGGCATGTGAAGGGCATGTTGGGAGGCTTGTTACAGGACCAGCATGTGATGCAATTCAATATTTAATCAGAGCTCTAGAGGAATCAGACGCGCACAAGCTTCGTCTTTCACTTCCCACGACAAAAACAACACGCACAACCAATGATTGATAAATCATTTAGCCTATAGACGCTCTACCGTTGAAATGTTTGAGGTTGGTGAGAGATTTTTTTTTTTTTAATGTTTTTGAAAGTCTCACGTTCACCAATGCTGCATTTATTGGATCATATATACAGTACAAACAGTCATATAAAATATTATTACAATTTAAAATGACATATTTGAAAATGTAATTTATTTCTGTGATCAAAACCTTTGATATAGAAATCTTTTGTAAAATTATAAACGTCTGTCCTGGTTTGATCTGTTTAGATGCACTCGTGCTAAATAAAAGTATCAATTTCTTTCTTTCTTTCAAAAAAATAAAAAATCTTACCAACCCCAAACTTATAGCCGTAGTTATAGACCATTTTGCAAGATGTAAACAACACTGGTCCAAAAACACTTCCTGTTTCAGTTTGTAACTGTTTTCTTTATTTCACATGTAAAGAAAACATCTTAAAGATGTTTGTTTAACTTTTTGATTCAGTTTTATATGTTCTGTTGGTTGTATTTTATCCCAGCTTTTATGTCGTGTTAAAAAACTGAAAGAGGAAGTGCTTCTGGACCAGTGTTGTTTACATCTTGTGAAATGGTCTATAAATGTAAAGCTTAATGGTCATCCTCTATCGAGGTTACCAGGCAATGGAGGCTTATTAAAAACATTAACCGAATCATCCACTGGTTCTCAGTTTATCTTCGAAGACGGTTCCTTCCTGATTAGGCGTACGATGTCAGGATTAATTGGAAATGAGGGAATGTGTTGGACACTTTAGAGAAGGGAATAAAGACCTGTAGTCTTTGTATTGATACTTCTGGTTTGTGTCTGTTTTAGCCTCACTGCTGATCATAAACTACATTATATTCCACATTATGCGTTTCTTTCGTTCTGCAGGTAAAGGTGAACATTCTCGGTGACGTGATCGATCAGGGCTCCACCAACCTGCAGATCGACCCGGCCGGCTTCAGCCCTCACGCTGCCATCTACTCCATGAGACCCGACGTGCGCTGCATCATTCACATACGCACACCGGCCACTGCTGCTGTACGTGTCACACCAGCTTCAGCTTCACGTGCACTTCACATCTCAAAAAAGAAAATCCAAAGAAATGACTGTTTATTTTAAATCTCCATGACTCGCATGAATCTCTTGTGTTATGTCAGGTGTCGTCTATGAAGTGCGGCCTGCTGCCCATCTCTCAGGAGTCTCTGATCCTCGGTGACATTGCCTACTACGACTACCAAGGCAGTGTAGATGAGCCAGATGAGCGCGTGCAGCTCCAGAAAGCCCTCGGACCGTCAACGAAGGTAAACAACGTTGCCATAATTCATGAGTAGTTGTATGATGAAAGCGAAAATTGCTGTACGTTTGTAAATGTGCGAGATATTTTTCTCAGATCTGTGTATGTGTGTGTTGCAGGTGTTGGTTTTAAGGAATCATGGGATTGTCGCTCTCGGGGAGACCATTGAAGAGGCCTTTCACTACATTTACAATGCTCAGTTGGCCTGTGAAATTCAGGTAAAATGCTCATAATGATGGGTAATGCATTTTTAAAATGCTTTGGGTGATGTTTTTATAACATACACATGGCTAAAAGAACCAAATTTTGTGTCTGTGGTTCACAAAACAAAATCACTTCACAGCTGTATGGATTTCTTTTATGATGGATGGATGAGCTTTTTTGGGCTTCAAAATCCAAGTTACCATTCACTCCCATTATAAGCTTTGAAGAGCCAGGATATATATATATATATATATATATATTTTATATAACTACGAATGTGTTTGGCTGAAAGAAAAAGTCACATACAACTAGGATATTTCGAGTGCGAGTAAATTATGGGATAATGTTCATCTTTTAACCCCTTAACTTTACTTCACAATATTTCTATTAAATCCTAATCTAATTATGACAAATAATATATATCGTTGGAAAGGTCTAAGACTTCTAAATAGATATTCTACCCCTGTTTTGTGTTACAAATTATGTGGGAAGAGTAATTGATGAATTTATGACAGGAGTGCACCTCAAAAAATCTGCATCATAACAGGAGGTCTGACCTTTGTCTCAAAAGTCGATGCACCCATTTTTAATCATTGAAACTTCTGTTTTTATGCTAAAAGTTCATAATAAAACATATAATCTAGTATTTTTCAATAAAAAATTATAGTATAATATTATCCTCTAAAAATTATTATAATATATATATATATATATATATATATATATATATTATCCTTTATCGCCTTTTTTATTGTATCACATATTTTAGAAGTTATCATAAATTAGGTATCATTTGAAAGCTTATAAACTCAGAATTCATCCTGTGAAAACAGTTTTATAATTGAACGTTGCGTTACCATAGAAACGGTACTTATTTTATCTGGCTCCTCCCCTTTTGGGTATCATTATATTTCATAATTTATGATCAAAACCTTTTCTAATCTTGACAAAACGCATATTGTCAGAAAGGTCTCAAGGTTCAAATTTTGTGACAAAATTGATATTTGGACAGAAATGTATTAATCTGTTAAGGTAGAATGTACACCCGGAACATAACTTGGTTAGATTTATGGCTTTGATTTTATAGTAATTTTAGAGTAAAATATATATTTTATATAAAATAAAAATATATAGTACAGTATATTTGATTTACTGTGAATTTGAACTTCCATAGCTTTTCATACTTTCATTTTTTGAGTGTTTCCTTTAAAACAAGACCAAACTTGGGTATATATTCCAAAGCATTCTTGAATTACAACCATTTAAGTGTGAAAAGTGCATTTTAACCCCCATTCTCAAAAAGGGGGTGACAGGTAAGGGGTTAAGTTAAATGTTAAACTGCGCTTCATTACTGCAAAATGATCCACAACTGGCCTTTTCTGCAGTAAATGTCTGACGTGGTTCTGTCTCTTTAGGTGAATGCGTTCTCATGCGCTGGAGGAGTGGAGAACCTGATCTTGTTGGATCTGGAGAAGTTTAAACCTCGTACACAGGGGGTGGCAGAAGCCGGGGTCAACTTCGGCTCCCAGCACAAGTGGAGGGTGGGCGAGCTGGAGTTCGAGTCGCTCATGAGAATGCTGGACAACCTGGTATGTTTGTGTGAGACTCAAATACGGTTACAATGAGCTGTGCGCCAAATTAATCATCTCCCAGTGTCATACAGAATCGATGTTTTATTAACAAGTTTCGGGAGGATCACGTTCTAATGATCAAACAATCAAGTCAGCCAGCTGTCAGCAATCAGTAATCAACTGGTTCACTCAATCAGCACAAGTAAAGCCTATAAAAACACACAGTTGACTCACCCTTATTCCTCGACTGTTCTCAGCATCCCTCCACCACCCCATCTCCTCACACTTGCCTAATTATCTTTCCTTAACAGAGATACGGGGGGAGTACTCTGGGTTCGGGCCCAATTTCCGAGCTCGGAGCCCTCCCCCCGGACAGCACGCCAAATACGCAGAACTATTTTTATTCTCTGATCATTAGTGAGTGTGAACTCGTGAAACAGGATTTAAACTCATCGATCGTGCCAAGTGTGAAAAAGCCAAAAGTGTTCACTAAATGACTACTTACTACTAGTCGAACTGTGTTTGAGAGGAATAATCACAGCGGAGAGACTGGAAAATCACTCCTTCCCCTCCTATTAGACAGACAAAAGGAGACCAACGTAAAGAGAGAGACAAACTCTCTGCCACAACTCTTTTCTCTTCTTTCTGTCCATGTCTTTCTCCAGCTGTGCAGACTGCTCTGTTTTCTCTCTCTGTCCGTGTGAGATAGGGAAGAATGCCGGCATGTGGAAAGTGTTTTCTCAGCTGAGACAGAAGAATGGAGTGATGTGGAAGATGATAATGATATGGTGCGTCGCTCAGTGAGCCACCATTACCCGCTTCCAGTGAAGCAATGTTTTTCCCACTTACGCCAGGATATGGTTACAGAATGCACTTGAAATGCAGATGTACCTTTAAGACTGTGTCTTTTCGTGCACCTTCTGCAAAGTCAGTTTTCAAGCAGTGGCTCGTTATATAAACCTATTCAAAGGGTTGAAGCTCATTCATAAACGGACTTTGATTCGTTGGCAATAGAGGGTATGCGCGTGACATCACCGTCGGCCAGAGTGCCTGCAGTTACCCACAAAAAGACTGAGCGGCTGTATTTGTTATTAGCGTAAATGCCGCGAAAAACGGACCCAACACACATAAAGTGGGAAAGAGCTTTGCGATTGACTGTACAACTAGATTTGACAGCAAATCAGAGACAGACTGCTATAGACCTTATGCACCAGAGAAACGTGGGCGCCGTCATCTTTAGAATATTGTCTTTGAACTTCCGGTTCTGTATGTTTCTATGGCATCGCTGTCGAGGAGTAATTAGCTGGTGAAGTGGATTTACTTATTGTAGAGTTATCATGAGCATTGTAATGTTTATCATCAGCATTCTAAAGCAGATGTCTTAACAAATGTCAAACGGGAATTTTTTTATGAGCAGATCATTCATACCTATGCAAGATCGCTGTGGAAATACAGACCGGAAGTCAAAAGATAACGAGCGCAACGCTGAAGAGGGGCGGGGCTACATAAGGTCTATAGAAAGAGGAGCAAATGGATCGCTGCAATTCACAGAAACAACTGGACAGCGAAAGGTGGATTTGCAGTTATCATTTTGAGTCAATACGCTGAATTAGGTGTAAAACCATACCCGTATATTTTGTATTGTTATATATATTAACAACTCATCAATTAAATATTTATTTTTGCATATTCTGCATTATTGGATGTTTTTTAATAAACACTGACCAAAAAAACTATAAAGTTATAGGGCTGGACGATATGATGATGTATATGGTGTTACGATATGGTGTTATATATAGCCTATATAGATATATAGGCTGTATAGTGATCACCTGGATTTAGACCTACCTATATTGTATTTATATAAAGCGTTCACAAGCAAATTTGCTTCATGTTTAGGTCTATATTGCTTTTATTTCCCCGGTTTCGAAGTCAGGCAAACATAAATGTCAGGCAACACAATTCCTGGCTGCATGTCAATATCCATGGATCACTGGATCTTTAGTAAGTTGTAAGGAACACTATATTGAGTCCAACATTTAGTTTAAATTGATAAAATTGTTCGTTTTAGTCGCATTTTCGCAGTTTCCCCTATTAAATCCAGTCACGCAGCAGATCTTTTGCCACTCCGTCAGGCTGAGGGGGGTCGTTCCGGCGGGAAAGTGACGCCAATGCGTTCCCTCTATTAAATGATTTAAGAATAGGTCTCATCCTTGTAACATATCTAGTTGTTTTTATTTAATGTAATATATTTACTTTCAGGGTTACAGGACAGGCTACACGTACCGGCACCCCATCGTGCGGGAGAAGCCGCGACACAAGAGCGAAGTGGAGATTCCCGCGACAGTGACGGCGTTCATGTTCGACGAGGACGACACTCCGCGTTTCCCTCTGAAGTTGCTGCAGCAGCGACAGCAGAGAGAGAAAACACGCTGGCTCAATTCACCCAACTGCTACATGAAGGTGAACGTGTCGGACGGGGCTAGCGAGGAGAACGGACGCACCAAGACCATGGTGAGGCTCAGGTCATCTCTGTTATGGTGCTCTGAGGTCTTGTTTTTGAAAGCCTTGCATGCTAAATGAAAAAAGCAGAAAGTCCTCAGGTGGATTTTGTGGAAGAGCAAGAATGTGGTTATTTCCTGGGCATACCTGACGGTCTAGCTGCAGATGAAACTCAGATGAAGCCTGAACTTCTGGATGATGCCACTGTCTTCAAGGATTAACACAGTTCCCTACTGACCTCTAGTGGTCGAGGCTTTAGTATTACAACTTTGGCTGCATTTTCACTAAGAGCAAAATGTCAGCCGTAGCTAAAAAAGGAGACCGAGCTCAGAACTATACTTTTGTGCAAATGATTTCATGGCAAAAATTTGTACTTGAGAGAAATTTTGGTTGGAACTCTTTTGCCCCTAGACTTTACGTTGACTCTGAATGGGCGCAGAGGGCTTAATAATTGTAAACAAATCCCAGTTTGTGTTTGTTTTCTTGAATTGTGTCCTAAATCTCTGCAGTGGATGAAGTCAGATGATGGCGGTAACGCTAGCGGGACTCCGATCCGCATCGAAGATCCCAACCAGTTTGTTCCGATGAACACAAACCCCAGTGAAGTTCTGCAAAAGAGAAATAAGGTGAGTTTTGTGTGCGAACAGACGGTTGATCATTGAGCCTAGATGCAGAAGTCATCACAGAATGCAAACTTGCATAGTAGGGGTCGAAAAATACAAGAAATGTAGTTTTTGCCTTCCGTGAATGTTTCTAAGACTTGAAGAAAAAAAATATTGCGAGATTGATTGTTTGTCAGAAGAGAGAAAGATGTTCCTCAGCTTGTATTAGAAGCGCACAGCAGCGCTAACTAGCTTTGTCAAGGTAATATAACACAAGTTTAATGTTATAAATGTACATTAACAATTTAAACAAATAAAATATTAGGGCTGGGTATTGACACAAATTTCGATTTCAATTCATAAGCTTGCGATTCGATTTCGATTCAGTATTGATTGTTTTGGATATCAGGTACAATACATGGCATATTTCCCAAGGAAAACAAATCTCTTAATTAATGCTGTAAACTATGGGATTCAGTTGTAGCCTATTAGCCTACTATAACATTGAAGGTAAAAATTGACTGATTTGTACTGAAACATTTAAATTACACTTTTATTTATTTTATGAAATGTAAACATTTAAATAGTGTCTGTCATAAAAACTTGGCAGGTTCAAACATGCATTAAATATTGAAGAACATTATAAATTATAATGAATATGTAATACGGTGCAAATATTTAGCAAAATACTCCTCTAGAGTTAATTTTTCTAGCTGACTAATGAGTTTATGGTCAGTGGATATGGTTTTTCTGAGGTAATGTGACGTTACATGACATTGTTTACAAGCTGTTTAACTGACGTCTTTCCACGGTTGAAACTTTGAGCGATTCAATGTGACATGATACAGATTTCGATAAGTTGTATCGAGTTGGTTCTCTATCTTTTATCACTTTCAGATGCTCATTAATGTTTATTTCATGCTGTAACTGGCATTATATGGGTGGTGCTGCTGCTTCTCTTCAGCTGAGCTGAGCTGAGCCAGAGCAAAAACCTACTGGGCCCCCTAGTCCCACTTTGGCAAAAAAAAAAAAATTAATTATAACTCGTGGCCTCAAGATAGTAACCCGTGGCCTCAAGATAGTAACCCGTGGCCTCAAGATATTAACCCGTGGCCTCAAGATAGTAACCCGTGGCCCCAAGATAGTAACCCGTGGCCCCAAGATAGTAACCCGTGGCCCCAAGATAGTAACCCGTGGCCCAAGATATTAACCCGTGGCCCCAAGATATTAACCCGTGGCCCCAAGATATTAACCCGTGGCCCCAAGATATTAACCCGTGGCCTCAAGATAGTAACCCGTGGCCCCAAGATATTAACCCGTGGCCCCAAGATAGTAACCCGTGGCCCCAAGATAGTAACCCGTGGCCCCAAGATAGTAACCCGTGGCCCCAAGATAGTAACCCGTGGCCCCAAGATATTAACCCGTGGCCCCAAGATATTAACCCGTGGCCCCAAGATATTAACCCGTGGCCCCAAGATATTAACCCGTGGCCTCAAGATAGTAACCTGTGGCCCAAGATATTAACCCGTGGCCCCAAGATAGTAACCCGTGGCCCCAAGATAGTAACCCGTGGCCCCAAGATAGTAACCCGTGGCCCCAAGATAGTAACCCGTGGCCCCAAGATATTAACCCGTGGCCCCAAGATATTAACCCGTGGCCCCAAGATATTAACCCGTGGCCCCAAGATAGTAACCCGTGGCCCAAGATAGTAACCCGTGGCCCCAAGATAGTAACCCGTGGCCCCAAGATATTAACCCGTGGCCCCAAGATATTAACCCGTGGCCTCAAGATAGTAACCCGTGGCCCCAAGATAGTAACCCGTGGCCCCAAGATATTAACCCGTGGCCCCAAGATATTAACCCGTGGCCCCAAGATAGTAACCCGTGGCCCCAAGATAGTAACCCGTGGCCCCAAGATAGTACCCCGTGGCCCCAAGATAGTACCCCGTGGCCCCAAGATATTAACCCGTGGCCCCAAGATATTAACCCGTGGCCTCAAGATAGTACCCCGTGGCCCCAAGATATTAACCCGTGGCCCCAAGATATTAACCCGTGGCCCCAAGATATTAACCCGTGGCCCCAAGATAGTAACCCGTGGCCCCAAGATAGTAACCCGTGGCCCCAAGATAGTAACCCGTGGCCCCAAGATATTAACCCGTGGCCCCAAGATAGTACCCCGTGGCCCCAAGATATTAACCCGTGGCCCCAAGATATTAACCCGTGGCCCCAAGATATTAACCCGTGGCCCCAAGATAGTAACCCGTGGCCCCAAGATAGTAACCCGTGGCCCCAAGATAGTAACCCGTGGCCCCAAGATAGTAACCCGTGGCCCCAAGATATTAACCCGTGGCCCCAAGATAGTAACCCGTGGCCCCAAGATATTAACCCGTGGCCCCAAGATAGTAACCCGTGGCCCCAAGATAGTAACCCGTGGCCCCAAGATATTAACCCGTGGCCCCAAGATAGTAACCCGTGGCCCCAAGATAGTAACCCGTGGCCCCAAGATAGTAACCCGTGGCCCCAAGATAGTAACCCGTGGCCCCAAGATAGTAACCCGTGGCCCCAAGATAGTAACCCGTGGCCTCAAGATACTAACCCGTGGCCTCAAGATCTCTATCTTGAGGCCACGGGTTACTATCTTGACGCCACAAGATAGTTGTAATTATTATTATTTTTTTGCCAAAGTGGGACCAGGGGGGGCTCCGTAAAAACCAAAACGCTGTTTATTTTAATTTCGTAAGAAAATGGAGGTAATTTGAAATCTGAGACTCTGTTTCATATCAATAGTAACAAAGCACAAAGATTATTGTGATTTATTGGATGGGATGCGCGCTTCAATGTTCCATTCATTCATCAACTGAAAACAGGATGACTAGCCTAATCGATTCTTGGGATTTAATAATCGATATCGGTTCATAAAAATGAGAATGATTAAAATATAGAAATCAATTTTTTTTTTACCCAGCCCTAAAAATATGCATTTTGCTAGATATGTTAGATTTACAAAGCTGAAAACTGGAAATACATCAGACTAATATTCACCATTTCTTCGATGCCACTGGGTCTTAAACCGCTTTCCTGTGATCTTTTCAGATTCGCGAGCAGAACCGGTTTGATATGATGACAGCAGGGCCGCAATCACAGCGGCTGGCAGGGATTGTGGTGGAAAGACCGCCGGTGAGTGTCAGAACGGCATTAGCATAAACCATGTGTGGGTAGCACACACATCTGCGGCACTAGGTGGCGCCAGATCCTCTCAGAGACAGATGAGCAGTGTGAACAATGTTGGTGAAATTAGCATCAGCTTGTGGGGCAAAGGATATTTTAAAGCAGGGTCTTATGAAGCTCTGTTTTTCTCTTTAAGGGTCAGTCGCCAGTTAAGGTAAAATCCCAGGGTGTTTTGTTTGTCGTTATGTTGAAAACAATCACGATTTTGAGTTTTGAAATGTCTGCATGAGGTCACCGTTATATTTGTAGTTTTGGAGTTGCAGTGTTGTTTTTGTTTTTAAAATTAGAGGATTTGTGACACTTTGCTTTTGAATGCTCAGTGATTAACATGTGGTCTGTGTGTTTGAGTGGTTTGTCGTCATTATTACTCATTTCATTACCGAGGTGCAATGCTAGTGTCTTATTTTTGTGTTCTCTTTCCTGCCCACGCAGCCGTACATGGGCGATTGCGAGGACCAAATGGTCCCTCTTCCTCCAAACCCCTTCAGCGAGCAGATCGAGAAAGAGATGAACGACTACCAGAAGAGAGTAGGATTAGACGGTAAAACACGCTCCACCTTACACTTCAAATGAACACTTTTTATTCAGCAGAGATGCATTAATTTGACCAAAAGTGAGGCCAAATTCAATTACATTGATTCAAAAAAGTGGATTGACTGTAAAGACATTTATAATATTACAAAATAAATGAAGAGTTCAGATGCAAAAGCATCTAAGTGCCATTTGAAATTTTCTTCTAGAATGAACATTTTTATCAAGCTTGAATATTTAAGTTCAGTCATTTCACTTAAATTGCAATGAGGATTACCTATTAATTGTCATTTAAGTTTAAATTTAAGTTAACTGTTTTCAACATTGATAATAAAGACTGGAGTTATGATGCTTTGATCACAGAAATGCATTATATTTTACAATAAGTGTAATCCTATTTCACAATATTACTGTTTATCAAATAAATGCAGGGTGGATGAGCTTGTTTCAGAAAAACATACAAAAATAAATCTTTCCAACCCAAAACTTTTGAACATTACCTTCCAAACTGAGATGCATGACACCTCTTTTCTTTCAAGAGCACCTCACTTCCTGTTCCCCATGTCACTTATATGACCCAGTCAATGCTAACGTTGTAACTCACTGCCCCTTATAGCTAAAAATCAATACCGTGTGACTTGCACAGGACTAACATGAATAAAACATCCAGCCAAGATGAGTGTCTTACGGCTGTGACAATGTCCTTGCATGCTAACCTGTCTACTTCTCTAACGGTGTGTCTCCCTGCCTGACTGTCTGTTCACTAACCAACTCACTCTGCAGATGAAGAGCAGCTCACGTCAGACGACGCGTCCACGCTCTCTCAGTCAGTGTCTCCTCACAACACTCCAGCCAAAGAAGGTATAACGCCCTGAAAGCGCTCTCGTGAGAATAGTATTAGCAGCAATTGTCCACCAGGGTAGCTGGTAACAACAAAACACATGCACTGAGGTTCATTATATTGTAACATGCAGATTATGACTAATTTAACCCTTGTGCTGCATTAGATTTTTAATACCGTTGAGTGCATTAACTCTTTCCCCGCCAAACACGGAATTTTCCGTGTTTAATGAAAAAACGCATCTGCGCCAAACACGGAATTTTCCGGGTATCCGTGTTTTAGGTGGTATACGGTAAGGAAGACCCGCGCGCATGTCCTGAATGATTGCGCAACTCTTTGATCAGAGAAACAGATTTTGCAATCGTCTCAAACAGTGGAGTAGTGAGAATGTATCAGACAGACAATGCAGAGGTATATGGCTGAAGTACTGGAGGTTAATGGACTCGGAGTCCGATCACTCTTTATTTGATAATTCTGAATCTGATCGGGACGAAGTAGTCAGTGAGAGAGATGCACATGTTGTCACAGAAAGTTTTAGCCATGGACGTGCCGCAGATAGATCGTATAATATTATGACACTATAATATGTATGTGTGTGTGCAGGCATTTATGTGTGGCTGTCTAAATATGAAGGTGTAATTGTCAAATTATTTCTCTCTTTGTGCACATTTACCACATTGTAATAGCCTATGTATTTGTGTGTGTGTGTGTGTGTGTGTGTGTGTGTCTAGGCCTGTTTATTGTAATTCCAATTATTTATTATTCACAGGTAGAACACAGAGAGGCAGAGGCAGAAGTTTTATTGCAAAAGTTACATTTCCCTTACATCCTGGGAAATTTGATATATTTTACATTTATTTTATGTTTTTAATTTATTTTGGAAAGTTTTATATATGAAGGAAACAACATCTGAATGTATTCTGCTTTTAAATGCACTTGTTTGATAAAAATACCTTTTTCTCAGTTTTTTGTCCAAAATGTTGTGTTTTTGACAAAACCTACCTCTGTTCAAGAGGCAATAAAAAAAGAACAGATTAAGATAAAATAAAAACGTTTTTTTTGCCTAAAAGCAGAGGCTCAGATCTTTATTTTTATATATATCATCTTCATATATTCATGGAAGAAAATATTCAGCGGGGCATTCAAATTTAGCGAAAATTGTCAAAAACCCTGGCGGTGGCTGGCAACTTTTTTTAAAAACGCTGGCGGGGAAAGAGTTAAGGACCAAAAATGGCCACATATTAAACATTGCCTAAAATATTATATATTATTATTATTTTCCACTTTTACCAAGTTAAATCTTTTAACCAGCATCAGTCCTCATCATAACTACCAAAAATGTATTCAATTTCAGGATTTTAACCCTTTAATTACCAGTTTTGTTTGCGAAACCATCGATTTGTATAAGAGGAAAAAACACAAAAATTCAATTATTTTCAATAAACTAAATGCAAAGAGAAAACTTTAGATTTGGATTATCACAGTCCCACTTTGCAAAAAATCCCACTTAGCGCGTTAGAGACCAAAAATGGCCACCTATTAAACATTGCCTATTGCCTAAAATAAGGTGCATTTCCACCCATAGGGAATAAATATGTAGTGACGTCATCTGGTGGAATACACTATATAATGCAAATATAATGCTTTTGCTTCAAAATGAAAGGATGTTTGTGCAAAAATCATGTTTCATGTATTACTGACAGCCTCAGATTTAAACAACGTTTTAATGGGTTTCAATGGGCCATTTTTGGTCTTTATGGTGCTGAGTGTTACTATTTGATCTACACAGTGTGTGTTATACATATTTTGCAAAATGGGATCACATTTTTTACATGTATCCAAAAAGTCACAATTTTGCCAAATTTCATACCATTTGCATTAAAACAGCCAAAATGGTCAAAGAAATTAAACTGCAAAAGACCAAAAATGTCCCTAATGCAGCATAAGGGTTAATAGTGGTTCATTTTTATAGGTTAGTCTGGATTGCTTTCGTGCCTTTTGTGTGAATCGCATTGCAGTGTTGTTGTTAAGTAAAACTATAAAAATTGTAGTTTTTAGTCATTTCTTATAGTCGAAGCTGATATAAAATATAAGTATTACATGAAAAACTTGCTTTGGGAAATTTTACTGAAATAAACAAGTTTAAGTTAATTAATTATGAAGTATAAAATGAAGTAGGCCTATAAGCTAAATAGAAATAATTATATCAGATAATAATAAAAAAATTACATACAGAAACTAAAGAATTCAAATATTAATAAGTATTATAATAGTATATAAATAATAGTAAAATAACAGTGAATCGTTTGGAAATGAACTGTCCTGTTTGTTTTAAATCTTTTTGCAACATGTTAAAGTGGGTGTTGGCAAAGGTTCTGGCAGGATGTTGCAGGACATTCTCTTCTGTGATGTTGCCTTTGTAGAAAACAAGCAATACTTGATTGAAGAGTAAATGCAAGTCGTCTGCAAGAAGTAGAGACCCTTACGTAAACTGAAGATGAAGCCTTACATAAATGAACGAAATCTATGCGTTCTCGCAGGCGTGAGGTGGAGAAACAGGATGCGTTTGTCCTAGTCTCTGTGAACCAGTTGCATCAAACTCACTGGTTACCCAACCGGACGCATTACACGACCGCTGATGAAGCATAAACAATCCAGGATGCTTTCAACGTGTTTATCTGAAGTGTAGGTCACACTCCAGCCAGGACAGTTTACACAGTTTTCTTGCAATGAGGATTGTTGGTTATTACTAATTTAGATGGGAATCTGATAGTCAAAAAGCTTTTTATTAAATATTCATAAGACTTTTTCTAAATTATGCAGTAATCACCTAAAGTTAAATGTAAATGCCATTCCGTTTAACTCCATCTAAAGCTAAATAAAGTAGTGAGTGAGTTGATGGAAAAATTGATAATTGCAAACATTTATTTTAAACTATAGGTTTATGGTTTCCAAGCAACATTGTTATATATTAAACATTTTTAAATATCGTATAAATATATATATATATATATATATATATTTTCTGGATAATTAGATCATTAATATTAGAATTTATTAATAATGCAATAAATATTCTATTAACAATTCGTTTATGGTTTCCAAGCAACATTGTTGTTTATTAAACATTTTTAAATAATCGCATTCATGTTTTTTTGGGGGGGGTTTTTTCCGGATAATTAGATCATTATTATTATAATTTATTTATAATGCAATAAATATTCCATTAACAATTCGTTTATGGTTTCCAAGCAACATTGTTGTATGTTAATCATTTTTAAATAATCGTATTCATGTTTTTTTTTTTTTTTTTCGGATAATTAGTTCATTAATATTAGAATTTATTAATAATGCAATAAATATTCCATTAACAATTCTTCACAAAAATAAAATAAAATTGATTAGCGCAATTGTTGCCTTTTGTTGTTTTTTTCCTCAGAAAATATTGCAACTTAATATCAAAATTACTTTTTTTTTTATTAGTTTTAATAATGAATTAAAATAATAAACTAAATTCTTCTGGCAAATAAAATAATAAATTAGCACTGTTTGTTGCTAAGCAACATTTTAGCTTAATTTAATACTTAAATATTTTATGATTTTAATATTTGAATTTTTTCTAATATATATTGGAAAATATATATTAGAATATAAGAATATATTATATTTTTTATATATTTTTATTGATGATGATGATAATCTTTATTCAGGACACACAAGATGGTCCATAGCCCTATACATATACCATAATACTACAAAGTGCATTAAAAAGAAAAAGAGGAAAGAGAGAGAGAGAGAAAAAAAGGAAGAGAAAAGAACAGAGTTCTATAAATTAAGGCTTTTTTATTATATAATATATTGAATTTTTAATAATAATATATTGAATTAGTTAAAAATATATTAGTGCAATAATTAATAACCAAATCTTCCAGCAAATGAAATAAAATTAACTAGCACCCATCATAACTGAAAATTACATTTATTATTAATTAATAATTGTTCTAATAATTAAATGTATTAATACAATAAACAAAACAAACATATCTTAGGGCAAATAAATAACTCATCAGCACAATATTTGTCTGTTTATGGTTACCAAGTATCGATATAAAGCAACTTGAAGAATTGAATTAGTTGATATTAGTTATTTTTTGAATAATTAGTTCAGTGTAATTAATAAAACAGTAAAAAAAATGTTGTTGTTATAGTTAGCAAGTGTTGATTGTGAATTATTTGTGTTGCTCCAGAGAACCACACCGGCGTGATGCTGAACGGCAAAGACGGGCACGGCGACGAGGACGAGCTCATCAAGCGCGTGAGTCAGCTGACCACCAGCGTGGAGAGCGTGGAGATCGAGGTGCGCTCGGGAGAGAAGATCGAGGAGGCTCTGACGCCCGAGAGCTCGCCCTCCAAATCGCCCAACAAGAAGAAGAAGAAGTTCAGAACCCCGTCCTTCCTGAAGAAGAGCAAAAAGAAAGAGAAAGTGGAGGCCTAGAGGAGAGAGAGAGAGAGAGAGAGAGCCCACCTCCTCTGTCCTTCTGTTTGTCGTTTTGTGTTTGAGTTCGTTTTTGTTGAGGTTATGTATAACAAAAACATGGTTATATTGGGAGTCGGTGAATAGATGGAGTTACATCCGTTTTTCACGTGATCTTAAGATGAGTTTTATACAGGAAGAGAAGCGAGGGAAACTCCTGGGAAACTGGCTTCTCTCACCTGACGGACTGAAAATGTTTCTGTACACAGTTTCCTAATGATTTTATCTCGTTGATGAGCCCATACTGCATTGTTTTTATTTTTGTTTTCATATTGTATGTTTATTAGATTCTCACACAGAGCCCCTTTTCCATCCGCCACGTCATCCCTCGTGGTGTCGGTTCTGCTTGTGCTCGTGGGTGGACGGCGGGCGTGATTGGTTACACTACACAGGAATCACACTGGAAACCGTTCTGGGGTTATTTTAACAGGGTTTGTTTTATTTGCTTCCTCTCAGCTGTGATTGTCGGTGTGAAATTGAGCAGCGCGCGTGTGACGCTCCTGTGTAGAGCCGCTCCAGCCTCCTCTCCGTACTGTTCTTTGCCAAATAGCATAAAAAGCAGAGCAATCACGTTTTAGTGAACTGTAATTTTGGTTTCGTGAACATCCACTCTTTATCTCTAATGAATCATTGTAGCTTTTTTTTATTATTGTTATTGAAACGATTTAGGTTTTATCCATTCAGTTTTGTACTCGTTTCTATACTTTAACAACGTAAAAAAAAAAAAAAACCTTGACGCATGTTTTGCTAGCCTGAATTTATATGGCTGATAATGTAGCGGTGCCTGACTCCTTCTCAGTCGTGTAATAGCTCAGATTACTAAACACGTGTAACGGAAATGTATGAAAACTGGAGTGATGTTAATGATATATATATATATATGATATTTTCGTGCTGCACTTTTTAATGTGGTGTACATAACAAAATGTGTCCGGATGAACTCGGCAGGCGAAAGAGCGATAGAGGCGCGATACGAAAACATGAGAAATGTCTTGAAAAAGGGTGGAGAAGGGAAACTTGTTAACATATAAGAAACAATATATATTTCTAAACTGTATTTTTGAACAAATATCTTTGTCCCAAAGCTCTCACGGCGTCTACGGTGGGTTCAAATCTATCTCAAATCTACTCTGGGCCTTTATAGTGCTCCGGATGACGACATCATTCATTATGCCACCTTGTTATGACCATCCAACTGGCTCAAAAGTCTCCAAAGCATCAGTGTCCGTATGATTTCATGAGAAACGGCATTGTACAGTGTGTTTTTGTCTGTCTGAAACTGGATTGATTTGCTCATCTTCCCTGCGCCAGATGTAAGCCGTGAGTTCAGAGGTTGCTCGTCTGGCTTGTTTTGAAGCGCCCTGTCCCATGAGACACCACAATGTGGACAGAATGTACTGCGTTTCGCCAAAAGCTAATCTCTCATGCTTAAGATTAGCAGTTTGACCTTGGTTTGAACCCCACTCGGGCCCAAATGTGGTCGTCATACGTCCCGTAGGGGGAAGGCGAAACCACTGAGAAAGAGAAAGATGTATATCCCAGTGGGCAATGTGAAGTACTGGCTTGGGCACGGAGAGAGAGAGAGACACACACACTTCTAAGCTGTGTAAATAGCATGTGGTTTTGAATGCGGGCCAGACGTGGATTAAAACACATTTAAAGCTGCACCGGGTGTGAGTTTAGAGCGACAACTCGGGAGATTAACTCATTTTATTGCTTTTAAATTTTCTTGCTGTTTTGGTTCTTTTCGCTGTGGTTTTTGCTTTCAGGGAGTGTAGTTCATACCCTACAAGGTATTCAATTCTCGTTTTGTTTTTAATTTTGTTGCTTTTTTTCTCCCTTTTTGCACCTTGTTTTACTAATGCCTCTTTGTTGTAGTCTCTGGTTCAGAGCGCCTGTTTGCTTTGGCACGCGAGCCTCTCTGTGAAATCGTATATAAATGGTTATCTAACGGACTTGCTTTTAGATGTATTGCTAATCAGTGTAAATTCACAAATAAACTATTTTAAGAAGCAAACACGGCACTCGAAGTCTGTGGGGGACATGCTACGTTTCACTCCATATCTTTAGCATTTGTGCATCTGTTTACATCATTCATGGCTATTCTCAGTTCTTCACATGCAACCATTTCACAGTCATGTTTACGTCTAACTAAATGGGAACGTTTGACTTCAAAGGTTAGTTTACCTCAGAAAGTAGTTTACTTGGCCCTCGTGTCATTCCGATCCCCAGATGTTGTTCTCTGGGACGTGAAATGAGAAATATTTTCACTCGTTTCACTCGGCAAAAGTGGGCGGTATCACCTGTATGGTTGACACAATATCACGATTATTGTGGTCTTCTATCTAAAATAAAAATTGGGCTGGGAAATGCTGTAATTTATCATGAATCGAACTCGAAATACGAGTTTTTGGAAGCAGAGAGAGTTTTTAACCGTTCAGGCCAAACTTGTTTGTGTTTTTGTGCTTAACCTGCAAATGGTCTTCGTTTCCTGTTTACACTTCTGGGCTTCGGGGGCTGTATGACCCCAATAATTGATTAATTATTGATTGATTTAATCATACAAACATCATTTTTGTTTTGTTTACTTCTCATCTATTCATTAATGCTGTGTTTTTGGAGATATAAGTACTTTAGTATCCATATACCACACAATTCCTCAACTACACCATTAGCTTTAGCATTAGCATATGACATATAATTTGTTTTATGATACATTGCATTTATGCTCTTCATTTCTGTGTAAAAAATTTCAGATTTATGCCGTTTGTTTTTTGACACATGAAGAAAATATATGTAGTTTTTTCACATTTCCCATTCATTTCAATGTGGGGTCATATTGACCCCGAAGACCAGAAGTGTAAAAGCATTTTTTGTATATACCTTCTTAACAACCGAATCAAGCCCAGTTTTTTTTGTGTGTATAGATAGATAATGTATGAAAAGTCACAAAATCTTATTCCACCGAGATGAAGGGAACCTTTTTTTTTTTAATCAAGTAAAATTCGTGTAGACCCCATGACCCGATTGAGGGTTAAAAACACAAGATGCAGGGCAGTGGAATGAAAAAACAAGTAAAGCTCCAGAGAGGTTGAACTACTTTTAACTCGACTTCTGTATTTTTAGGATGGTGCACGACATACTGCAAAATACAGCTTCTAGTGCGTCTTTTCTTAGAGAAACAATGGAAAAACTGTGCAGTTAAAAATATTACTGCTATCGACAATAGTTGCCAGTCTTTTAAATTCATAAAATAGCTTCCGGGTGTCATTGGTATCTAAAAATTGGAGCATTAAGATTGGTTCTTAAGAGTCCGACCGATAAAGGATTTTGAAGGCCGATGCCGATACAAATATTTGTTGGTTTTAAAATCCGATATATCGGCCGATATTATTATTTTTTTATTACAGAAACGTGCAACAAAATATTAACAGATTTCCCTAACATTAGTTATTTGTAGTTATTTATGAGTTTTAACTAAAATAATAATGCATTTTAAAAAGAAACTTGTTCCTATTTGTCACAACAGAACAGAGGAACATCAAAATATATTAAAGTTCTGATAAATAAAATAATAATTAGTCCCTACTTTTCCTCATAAGCTACCTTATTATTACAATGTCAGCTTGCTTATCCCTTTACCTGCACTTTTTAAATTCTTTCCATCCAACCATTTTCAATCATCAGTTGCTGCCTGCCGATTCTAATCTAAATCTATTACAGAACGACAGAATGTTATACACGAGTGTTTCCAACAGGGACGGTGTAGAGTGGTGGTGGACAAACTATACAACTCCAACACTCATGACGTGGTTGAAGTGTGATTCGTCCGTTTTTATTTTATTTTTGAAATATTCATTTATCGGCCATTATGAATGCCGATACCGATATTTTTAGAAAATGCTTAATATCGGCCGATAATATCGGTCTGGCTCTAGACTTGCCTCTCAGTGCGTAAAAACGTCCCAAAAAAGTGTGAGCTTGGATTGGAAATAGGAGTTTGTTGTGTGTTTCACGCAGTCTGATGAGTTTTCAATGGCATGAGGGTGAATATATGATGACTAAACAGGATGTGCACCAAACCATGTTTCTAAAAGCAGGATGTCCACCTAACCATGTTTCTAAAAAGCTCATTATTACTCGTGTAATAATGAGCCCTCGCTTTCCCTTTGCATTTCTGTATGCCGCACTTTAAGAGTCCCGCTATGCTTCTAACACAAACATGCACCGAAAACTACCAAAGACTACAGCGAATTCTGTCTCTTTACAGCAAAAAAAAAAATACTTTTACTTCACATGCAGACAAGAGTATGTTGAATTTTTAACATATATTAACATGTAATGCTCAGAGTTTGATAAATCCAGTCTATTCTTCACTTTGACCTCTCGTGGACTGAATATGCATCGGATTCCTTTTGCACAAGCAACAGACTGTTCGTATAAAAAGCAGGCGCTTCACTATTGTGTTCGTGCTGGTGTGCCTTTCTGTCTTTCCCATGAGTGGAACAACTGAAATATGCAACAAACTTATCGAGGCTGTGTGCGTTGGTTAAACTGTGGGTGGCTAACATGCTGATTGAGGGTCAGTTTAGCCGTTTTAGCCAACAAAGTGGTCAGGATTGTAGATCAGTAGTCTCGCATGGCTCATTTGCTTTCATTTTCCCTGCACATCTAATTTGATGATCCTCAATCGACTCATTTTGCCCTCTTAGCTCTGTAGAGCCATAGACTAATGCTGCCCTGAGGGCTGATCTCGGGTCGGACCTATGCATAGTGAAACTTCAGATTAACCTCTAATGGTGATCCAAATATTATCGGCCTTGTGATTTATTTTTCCCGTGCAGATGAATGTTTTGAAGATGTTTTGGTTGTATATGAAGCATCAAGATTAAATGGAAATGTAACAAAGCGGCCTTGTGAATTTAATTGTGCCCATGCTTTAATCCCTGCTTTAAAATGTTTACAAACCACTGTCGTGCATGACATCAAAATACAAACTTAAGGTGGTTGCATGTCCTAATAAAATTCACAGCTAACTGGTGAGTTTGATGCTCTCCAAAAAACAAGATTTACTTCCCTTTGGCACTTGGTCAGTGTTTATTTTGCATCTTTTCCAAGCACTAAAATCTATGGAAGATTGTTTCCACTACAGAATTAATATACATATATATATATATATATATATATATATATAAATGAACATGTTTCAACCGCAGAAAGATGTCAGTACACCATTTTATTTTAAGTTAAGTTATATTTTTTTCAATTGAGGTTATATCTCACAATTCTGACCTTTTTCCTTGGAATTATGAGTTTATTTCTCGCTATTCTGACTTTCTTGCAATTGATTCTCCCCATTTCAATTTTCTTGCTTTTTATGAGTTTATATCTCACAATCCTGACTTTTCCTGCAATTGACAGTTTTTAATCTCAAAATTCAGACTCTCTTCCTAGCAATTATGAGTTTAAATGTCACTATTCTGACTGTTCTCCTTGAAATTATGAGTTTATATCTTTAAAAAATAGTGTGTGTGTGTGTGTATATATATATATATACTTTTATATGTATATATATATATATATATACTTTTTATCTCACAATTGTAAGTTTACATCTCACAATTCAGACTTTTTTTCAGAATTGCAATATAAACACACTAAAGATTTTTGTTTGTTTAACTTAAAAAATGAAGTAACCTGTTTGCCTTAATTTGAAGTTCATTGAAATGGAAAAATTGAGTTAATAAAATGAAGGAGATTGATTTAATAATTGGAAACTCAAAATATTGTGTTATCTGAACCACATTAATTATTTAAGTTGATTTGACAAAAGAAAAAGTTGTGATTACAAATCATGAACGTATTTTTTTACAGCACTGTAAAAATGAATATGCTTTATCCAATCAAAAAAAATTCTGGCAACAGATTACAAGCAATATTATTAATTAAATATAACAAATTAAAATTGAGTAATAATTAATCAAATTAATTCCTTAAAAGTTAACCATTTAAAATAAAGAGTTCTTAATTAATCTTTGACGTCTGTCTGTTATTCAGATATTTTTGTTACATTTTTTTAGTGTAAACTCTACTCATTTTAAATGGTTAACTTTTAAGGAATAATTTGATTAATTATTACTCAATTCTAATTTCTTAAATCTAATTAATAATATTTCATGTAATCTGTTTCCCCAATTCTATTGATTAGATGAAGCATATTTATTTTTACAGTGAGTACAAATACACAAATTCACAACCTGAGAGAAAGTCAAAATTGCTAGATATAAACTTGCAATTTTGAGGAAAAAGTCAGAAATGAGAGATATAAACTCACAATTGCGAGAGTCAGAATTGAGATAAACTTAATTCAAGATATAAACTCATAATTTCAAGGAGAAAACTCATAATAGTGAGATTCAAACTTAATTGAGGAAGAAAGTCTGAATTTTGACATTTAAAAACTGGCAATTGCAGGAAAAGTCTGATTTGTGAGATAAACTGACAATTGTAAGAAATAAGTCAAAATTGTGAGATATAAACTCATAATTGCAAGGTTAAAAGTCAGGATTGTGAGAACCTCAATTGAAAAAAAAAAAGAAATATGAACAACTTAAGAAAACGGTGCACTGACGTCTTTCTGCGGTTGAAACATCTTCATTTATATTTATTTGGTGCTATAAATGAACTACTAGGAAGAGATGATCAGTTCATGAGATCTGTCCCCATACAATAAGAGTAACAAAACAGAATTTATGGTTTGAATTTCTTAAATGGACAACTTTAAAAGCCGAGACTTTCTTATATCAAAGGGAACGTGCTCTGTCCTGTCTGTCGGCGTGTTGTCGGTGTCCTCTTTGCTCCAAGCTTTCATAGAAGACTGATCGTGTCCTAAATAAACATCATGTTCACAAGAGCAGCATTCAAATGCAATTCTAATAAGCATGTCCATGTTTTTTAACCACATGTGCCTCGGCGAATCCCAAAACCCGGAAATGGCCTTCCTGTCGGGATGAAACG